ATAAAAACTCGTTTACTCCTTACTCCTTACTCCTTATCCTAAATTATAAATATTTCGACGATTTTATAAGAAAGTCTTTCTTAGGAAAGCAATTTCATTAACGATTATCATTTATCGCAATTTTTTAATATAAAATATTTTAGTATTTAAATTTCCACTTGAAATTCTATTAAAAATTGTTTGGAAAGCTAATTTAAAAATAAACTTTTATTATGTATTTGTATTTGTAAAATTTAATTTACTGAATTTAGTATTTAGTAAAATTTAATACAATTTAATTTCCTGAATTTAATTTAATGATTTTATTAGTTTTTCTTTTATTTCATCGTAAAAATCTGCGAAAAGCTGCAAAATAATTGCAAAATATAATTAAAATATTTTTGCTAAGAAATTATAACTATTGTGTATGGAAAATCAAAGAATAAAGAATTTGTAAGTGAAGAAAAATACGTTCTCGCAACCTTTACTACATTCTGTACATATATGTATATTAAAACACTACTACGCAAACGATATAACTCACGGAAGTGAACACTAAAGTTTCTTAATAAGCGATGACGTCGACACCGCGTGGCAATTCCTTAAGTCGATAAAGAAACCTTGTTTTATGAACTGACTAACAGATTAGAAACGAACTCCTCCCGCTTTAATTAAACTCCGTAGAAATTGTGTTAATCGTGTTAAAAATACATTTTAATTATAAAAAAAATGTTAAGTCTTTAGATTACAGATAATCTTAATATAAAAGATATATATATGTGTGTGTGTATACATATGAAGTATACGATAATTTTATGACATTATATTAAATTTTTAATGTGTTATATAATAAAGTTCTACATATAAATTAATATATATGTGTGTGTGTGTGTGTGTGTGTGTGCGTGCGCGCGCGCGCGCATGCACACACACATATATATATATAAATGGAAAATCTCGAATATATATGTACCATAGAGTGCTTTATAATATCATATTTATTTTATAAATAATCTTGCATTATTACTGAATTGTTATTAATGTTTTAAAGTATTATTTAATTAAATAAGTTATATCTAAATATACACAAAAAAAGTATTGCTAGTATATATAAATAATATTTGTTTAAGTTTTTCTTTAAAAAACTTGAAAATAGAGAATAAGTGATATAAATATATAATAAGATTTCAATGCATATATTCCATATAAGAAATTTTGTTTTAAATATATATATTACAAATATATAATACATATATATAACACACACACAAATATATATATATATATATATATATATATATATATATATATATAAATAAAATACAAAATGAAAGGAGAGAATATGAAAACTTATTTCAAAAAGCTTATCAAAAAGTGAATATAAAAACATAAAAATATAGTAAAAAAAAAATCTGCCCCCAGAGAGATTTGAACTCTCGACCCCTGGTTTACAAGACCAGTGCTCTAACCCCTGAGCTATGGAGGCTTCTGTCGTCTCTTTCAATATACTGAAAGATACTGATTTAATCATATTTAATGCATTATTTAATGCGATAAAAAGATTATTTTAATAATGGGTGTGCTGCCTTATTTTATTTCATATAACAGAGTATTAAATTTAAGAAAATAAAAATAATTCTTATATAAAAAAGTATTTAAAATAGATCAAATATATATATGTATACCTATATCTCCACTTTACACTCCAATCTACACTTTACTTTTCACATATTTTAATAATTTTAAATTTTGTTTGCCTTTTAAATCTTGTTAATAAATAATAAATAAAAATATACATATACATAAAATTATATTAACATTAAGACAATATTTATTATTTTTAAATATTGTTTCCTTCAAAGAATGTAAAATATATCGCGGCTGAGAAAATATTATTTATCTATTTAAAAAAAATAGCAAGATTTATTCATATAGCAAAGATTTTAACTTATAATATAATATTTTATAATGCTCGTGTAAGTTTTAAAACAAGAACAGTATTTATTTTATAATACAGTATTTTATAATAATTCAAGTTTTTCTGAAACGATTCATTAATGTATCTCTCAATACTTTTAATCTTTTTCATTAATGTCTCTAATATATTTTACTTCAATATTCCATATTTTTGTTGTAAAAATCAAATTTGCTGACATGTCGCATTTTATGATTAAAATCATGCGTTTACTTTGCAGTTACGATATTTTTAATAAATATCTAGTTTTTCCTATTTTTTACAATTTTGCACAAAGAAAAATAGTAATAATTTTAAAAGCCCAGCGCATATCAGTCACCACTATGTTATTAGTCATTAAAAAAAGGTTTTTTCTTGGATATTTATAATAATAACAAATACGCAATATAACTTTGCTCATAAAAAATAACTTCTATCGCTGGTTTTCCGCGCCGGATGAACCGTAGCTACTCAATGAATAGCAGAGGAAGTCCGTGAAGAACGTCATATCCAGTCTACCATAATGTAGCTGGTTCCGTGCAAACGAGCTGTTGTAACCTTTCCCTTCTCCTAAGTAAATACATCCTTGCATAGCGGCAAGCATGGCAGAAAAGCTCGCTCATACTTGTAAAATCATTGCAGCGCATATTTTACACCGACTTTACAATACTCGTGTAAACTTTAGACAAGCACAAAGTAAAATTTCGCATCGGTCTCGCTTGGTTTAAATTTATAAAAGTCTCTTCATTGATGCTATTATTTTTAAATATTATTTTTAAATATTATTATTTTATTAAACGTTATTTTCATAAATTTAGCTCTCCCTTGAAATGCAATAAAAAAACGAGAAATAATTTATTGGAGATTATCTTCCGGTTTCTTACATAAGAGAAAATTTTTAGACGCAAAAAAACACTGCGTGCAATTTGCAGGATAATTTCTAACTGCAATTTTTTACGCCTAAGAAAATGTGTCTATTGAAGAATTCTCTCTGCAAAAAAAAATTAATGAAATGGAATATTATTCGATAATAATGACTAAGTTCGTTGTTCTGAAATTAAAAACTTTAGCCACCGGAAATTAAAGCGAAGGCAAGAAGCTAACGAATGATCAAGGACTAATTAAGTTCTGACAAGACTAATTAGCAGCGGACTGTGCTGTTCATCGATTCGCGAAAATCGTGCACAAAGCGCTTTAATTTGATATCAAATGGTGTATATGTAAAACAATGTATTTTTTAAAAGAGCAGCGCGAGAAAATGCAATTATTTTAATTCATTCTGTAAATTTATGTTCTATGAAAAAGAAAAGAAAAGAAAAGATGAAAGGCGAAACAAAATGCTCTTATAGAAAAAACCGTGGGAAAGCGTTCGTTTATTCACATTATAAAGCACGTATTATATTCTCGTAATCTTGCCCTTTGGCTACACTGCTTTGCATTTTGAAGCTCAAGCTTATCAAAGTATCTCTTATCATTACTATCACGATCAGATAACAGAATTTATCTGTTATCAACACATACATTATATCAAATGTGTTGTACAGTATAACTCACAATTCATAATGTTTATATTGCAACGTAATATCTAATATTGTAGCGCATATTGCGAAATAAAAAAACAAATGTGTATTCGGAATCCGAGAAATCAATAATCGGGTTTAATACAAGATATTGGCTTCCACACATATACTATGTATTTCTCAACTACATGTAAGTTTCTTCTCGATCTCTCGTTACAAATTTTCATTTATAGAAACAAACACTTGAAACTGAAATATGATGCAAATAATTCCGTTGTTGAAAGTGTAATATTTTAGATATATTCGAAAAAAAGAAATTAAAAGTGCATTTTGTCTGATTTAATTAATTAATTAATTGTTAATGTAAATTGTTAATGCAAATAACATCTTTCATCCTAGAATAAGTCAAAATCATAATACTTAGGAAATATGTAGAATTAAGTGAAAATTCTTTCTCCTTCTTGAGAAAAATAAAAAAGCATATTCTCTTACGCTACTTTGTAAAATAACTTTGTTATGAGACTCTCGGAAATATCTCGTCAAGTATTATAGTTTAAACGACATTATCTTACAACGATTGATCCAACCAATCCTATTTTCTCTATATTCTGCATTGTCAATATTACTGTTTTTCTTGCGATGGAACGACGATATAATTGCTAGCGCATAATGAACGATCCGCGACGATTATAGGTGTAATTTGCCATTTGCAGGGAAATTAACATCGCGTAACGAGCGCACAAGCATAGTATAATCAAGGACGCGGCATTACACAAAATGCAAATACAATTTTGTTGTCGATTACTCGCTACCATGTGGTGCGAAGTTGCAAGAAAAATCTATCAGGATATAACGGGATTTATGATAAACTATCTCTCAATAAACCGGGAGATCTCATCTCTCTTTCTCTTTCTTTCTCTTTTTCCATCTCCCTCCTTGCATTATAAAACATGTTCATATAACGGAGATCACGTGTCACGAAAATAATTTAGCTGTGTTTATATTTTTATAACAGCTGTATATATTTACGATAGTACAGTTCATGAGAAAATTTATACTCGTATGTACTCGTATATACTTTATACTATACTTGACACCTTAAACACACACATGTGGTTTTCATAATTTAAAAGAAACTAGAATAAAATAAAATTTTAGAACATGTTTCAAGATATTTTGAACTTATATTTTCTGATATATTAAGAACAATATTTTTTAATTAGAGAAGCAATCGAAAATAAAGGATTTTTCGTAGAATTAAACATAGAATCAGACACATAAAAACAAAAAAGAAAATCTTGCTCTTTGTTGAAATCAAGATATTTACTGTAGTTAGATGCATTTTAATTTTAGAACTAGTAACAAATAAAAATATATACATTTACTGCAAAATGAAAAAAAGAATTGTCTTCCGTGAGCAATGCATTTGTGCTAGAGAAATTTATTTCAAACTTGCATGTTAGAACAGAATCCGTCATCAAAATTTAATCACTCAATTTAAAGCATCCTCGAGGAGATAATAAAGTCGCGTTAACTTACTTTGATAGGTCGAAGCGGTGATCCAGAGACTATGCAGAATCAAAAGTTTACGTTATCCAGTTCGCGCGCGAGCCTCAGGGTGATTTCCAGAGTAGAAGTGTCATTGTGCCACTTGGCAGAGGACGCATTGGGATCCACAGGATACGGTGTAGGTAGGTGTAGCCGATATCTGAAATTGTGACTTAGTTTTACGTTGGGCAGATAGATTTACGGCCTCTCGTAAAATTGTCAAAGAAAGTAGAAGCACGCGCACGCCTGTCGAAGTCACGCCAGATCGGACTCCAACGCGACGTACGAGAGTTTCGCTCTCTTTCTATCACGCGACTTACAACGATAAATCTTCCGTCTCACCTTGAGCTGCGCACGTCGATCGCTTCGGATTCTACGGAGAGCTCCACATTTTCCCGCGTTTCCTGAGGCAATTTTACCAGCACCGTCAGCCATTCGCAGGATGCCGTACTTGGCGTTTTAAAGCTCATCTAAATAACAATTCGTTCGTCTTCAAGGCCACTTACTGTGCGATTTACACGTAACGTGTCGATCGGAGTAAATTGTATTCGAGTTTCGTACAAAGCTCCTCTCGATTTGAGAAGAAATAATCGAGTAGTTTTAAATATCTATGTTGTTTTATCGCATTCTTTGATTATATGTCTACCCTTTTTAGTTAATTTTATTTTCCCCAAAAAATTACAAATCCATTTTTAAGTTCCATATTTCATCAAAAATAAAGATTATTTGTTTTATATTTAATTTATTTTTATGTATATATTTATCATATGTATATATTTATCATATGATAACATTTAAAGTAAAAAAAATATTACATAAATAAAAATAGGTATAGAATAACTCCATTTTTGCATTTTTAAGTCTATAATGAAAATACAAACTATAGTGTGTACGCGAATGCTATGCGAATTACGAGACGCGTAATATTGTTAATTTTATTCGAAATATATTCTCTTTATATTGTAGAGAAAGAAAGGGAATGTAAAACTTACTCCCAGATAAACATCCTCCGCCGTCACTGCTTGTTTGAATTTCATCTCGTATTCGGGCACCTGTCTCGGGTCATAATCCTGCGTGTTTCGAGTATCATGCGCTTCCGAAGGATGCCAAATATCATCGCCGGCACCTTTAAGCGGCGCATGTGGTCCTGTCGCTGCAAGATCCTGTGAAGGATCGTTCGGGACGCCAATATCGCCCGGTCCTTAAAATTCAAATATTTCATTTTCCATTAATTATTCTATTTTCCTATGAATATGGAATACTCATTGTAGAATAATATAGAATATGGAATATTACTTCGAAACGTAACACACATGTGTAAACTATTTAACTGTAATTTAAAACGAATATATAATAATGATTTATAATCATATAGCGTTACGTAGTGGTATCTCAACGCAACAAATCTTATCAGAATTAATTATTGACAGCATTTATACAATAAGTTGTGTTAATTGCTATGTTACATGTGTTCTCCCATAAAGTATTATTATCCATAATGATGCTAATTTATGAATAAAAAATAGAATCGCATATAGTATAAACTCATTTACAATCAATATGATGTATACGGTCAATGCCATTTATCTTGCAATATTTACTTAAAATGAGAATATTTAAAAAATTCTATTTTCTCTTTATTTTATTTTTTTATTTCTTTTTATTTATTTATTTTTACTTCTTTGCGAATCTAAATTTCAGATCCGTAAATATGAATAAATGTCGAATGTCAAAATAACGTGAATATGAGGTGTCCCAAAATCTCCGGATGTTTTTAGCAAATCCTCTTATTATTATTAATTTATTATTAATTTCTTATTATTATTAATTTCTATTCTTTTCTTTATTTATTATCGAGAGATACGATTTTTTCTAACTTTCTAATTTGTTTCCATCATTCTAAATTCCTCAAATTAAATTTCTATTAAAATAAACTCCATTTAAAATTAATTAAAAAATGTAATTTTGTTAAATTTTTCAAGTATATTTAACAAAAAATTCTTTTAATCGCTTATTTTTCAAAGTATATTTAACAAAAAATCTTTTTAATCGCTTATCGATTTTTTCACTAAGGAAAAATTATTTCTAAATCGATCAGAGAATCAGTTACTAAGAGAATATCATGGATAATTTTGAGACACCTTATATACGAAATATGCACGCCTGCGTATTTATTATATTTATAGTTTTGTACGCTAATTAATATATCGCATATAATTGCAGCTCTTTTACTCTCGGCCAGAAATAATATCCCGAACAATACATTAAATTAAATGCAATGAGATTTCAGCGGAAGCGAGCTCAGCTTGAAATTGCTCGTGGAAAATTGGCTGGCGCTTGCAATAACGAATTTCGCTTTACTTTCATAATCAATCGGTTTTGTAAGCGTAAACATACCTAACTTTCTCGCGCCCGCTTGCGGTAAATCGTCCTCGACGTCGGAATCATCCTTGGATGGGCAAATTAAATTCTGCAACGCTTGTAAATCCCTCGGACTGAAACACCCGTCCATCGCGATGCGCGACAAATAATTCACTATGAAGGTAACAACAAACTGCCGTCGTTATGGCAACGCATTCGCGGTTTGCCGACAATAAAAGGCGGTCAATTTGAACTGACCTGACCGATAAATTCCACACTTGACATATCGCGCGCGCGACGAATAAAACAGCTGTTTATTATTACTTCAACATAAAACTCTATAAAATTTTATTTGTTATCATGTCACAAGAGGGAAATAAAATTGCCGATATTTCACTGCAATATATTTGCCATCAAAGAGGAAAAGAGAGAGGCAGAGAGAGCTTTTTCAATTATAAAAGATTAAAAATTATAGAACTTTTCGATTAAATTTCGCGACAAGTGTCACTTGTTCAAAAAAATCTACAACAAAAACTGTTTAATAAAAGATAAAAAAAGAGGTGAAAATTAAATATATAAGTGAATAGGAAAAACAAGAAAGCATTAGAATCATTATCGCGGGTGTTTGGTATGAAAATATAAATCACGAGAGATGTCTTTGACAAAGAAGGTTAAGTTTGAATAAATTATTTCGCTTGCGAGTAATCAGTCCTTCAAAATAAACAAGCGATTTTGAAATAAATCGATTTAAAACTTACCAAATTTATCCAGTTGCGTTAACAATAATTGAATTAATTGCGACTTTCTATGAAATATCCGTTCGAACAGAGAAAAGATGATTCTATGGAACTTGTTTCCTTCGTTTAATATCGCCATCTATGATTATTATAAATTGTGCGAAACTACGTAGCTACAATCATTTTTCGACTGCTGATAAAATCATTGTTTGGTTTATATCCATACTAAGGTAAACATTCCGCAAAATATATGCCACTGTATCCGTTCATAGATTTCTCTCGGTTACGTAAAAATATTAATAATAAATTATGTAAAAATATAATAATAATTACGTATAAATAAAATAAAAACTTACTTCACTTTATATGTAAGAAATTATTTCTTCTTCATTTCATACAAGTAAATCAATAACTCAATTTTTTTTTATTATTCTTATTAGGTGTTTCAACTTTTTTTAATTGGACTGTAATTAGTATAAAATACAATAATATATTGTATTATAGTCGAATTGAGAAATGTATTAATTTAGTATAAAATACAATACAATATTATCTTTTTATATCGTCTTGAATCTATATACTAATTAAAGCTATTGTATATATTGTATTTTTTTGTGAATTTTGGAATTTTTCAATTAATATTTTTATATTAATTTGAATTTTTTTTAATTATTTAATTTCATCAAATCTTAATTATTTAAAATTCGAAATTTTTGAAAAATATCATGCAATACAATTGTTGTGCGGTATAAGAGATACAATAATTAACAATTTACTAATTCTTGTATAGAATTTAAATTTAATTATTCGTTTTTAATCAAGTAAATTTATTATTTAAAATATTTAAAAATTTGTTTTTAATCAAAATTTTACATTCACATAATTGATATTCATAATAATATAATATTATTAAACCTATTGATCATCAATATACTATTGTAAATGTAATTTATGCATAAATTTATTTCATTTTTAGAAATTAAAATAAATGTAATAAAATATATTAAAATACTCCATGTCTTTTAAAGATCAATCTACATTTCATCTTTTCAAATTATTTTCTTAGCCAATGCTTACGAACTTGATATGAATTGTAGATTGTTTATTTAATAAGAGACAAAAATACGTATAAGCGCGAATCAAAATAACAATGATATAAGTTGAATCATTCACGATAGTATTAGATAAATAAATAATAATAGGAGTGAATATAAAAAGGATGTCTCTAAATAAACAACTCGTTTTGTAGCACATACATTGATTTATTATACGTAGATTGTTCATAGCTTATTGTTTCTCTATTTTTTTTATAGCAACAGCAAATATACTATAGTTTGGTCAGATTAACAAATGTTTTTTTCTCCAATCTGCCGTAGATGTGATTATTCATGTCGATATACCGGATATAACACGAATAACCGAGCCTGTATACATCATTGGCAGGTTGTGACATGTGGAGGCCTAATCAATCATCCGGACATGATGGTCTCCATTTAAATTTTGTTGCCAGTGTGTGTTGTGATTAAATTTTTGATAATCATTTTCATAATCGAAGACACATCCAAGAGAGGTCTAGTTAGATAATTAAACTAAGTTCACAGCGCGTACTAAAAGCGTACTAAGAGTCCTATATCGTCCTTCTTTGATTACTCTCACGTATCAAAGGTACGCGCTGTCTTTTTTTTATAACGTTTACGCGAAACAACGCAACGTACGTAATTCAAAAAGAGTCTCCTCTTTCTTCCCCCCCGTCCCTAATACCCTCCCCCCCCCAAGATACTCTTAACGTTAAGAAAGTACCCCGCTCCCCCACATTTACTCTCCCCTCTTTTTCACCCGTCGCATTAAATGCCATCGCGATTAACTGGCGCGCACAATCCGTCTTATTTTCTTTTTAAGTCCCTACTTTTATAATATTATATACAGTTTGGCACCGAAGTTGTCTTTTTTTTTTTTAGTTTTTCTGTTTTTTTTTCCCAAATCGCACGATGCCAGCGCGAAGGTCCAATGTAAATGTACCCCTTCCCCCCCATTTGTATGTCAAGAGAGCAAAATCAGGTAAAAGTACATTTGAGTGTGTGTTTGTATTGTGCTTGCATCGTGTGCTCGATCAACGATTGTTCGCGATCAGTGATAGCACTTGAGTCGCGTCGAGGCGATCCCAAGGGATTCGGTACCTTGGGAGCTCGAGAACAAGAGTATCGCCTGGACTCTCGCGTGGTCCTGTCCTAATCATCGCTCGTTAATTGCGAATGCTCAAGTACGAACGACGCATCCCGATTTTAAGTACACGTTTACAAGAGCTTCAGCTTCTTCTCTTTGGCATAGTTTATAAATATACATCTCTCTCTTTCTCGTGTTCTTTTCCTTTTTCTTGTTTCGCATTCTTTCGCCATATTACAGTGTGGAATGTATGTAGCCGGTGTATGCACCTCGGTCAAAAGCCTCGTCGTCGTTATCTGGAGCTTGTCAAGTCAGTACATTGCCAATCCGACTCTTTCGACGCCTCGCGCGTATCGCGGATACATGTATCTTCTCGCTCGTACAGAGACGGATCGGCAAAGCGCTTAGCCCGCGATGCGGTCTCTCTTATCGTTACGAAAGTTACATTAATTTATCTTCTCTTTTCTTATTAACCGTATCCTAGGGAACTCTGACTGCTACTGGTTCTCAGCGAATTCCAGACTGCCCAGCAGTCAGACATACATAACAATTATCACAACTTAATATCGTATAATACTAATACAATATTATGTAAATATATTAATATTTAATCATAAATATTCTATATATATAATATATTATTAACAACTGACTTGTTTGCGTTTTATATCCCGCGATACACGTTTCGTATCGTATCGTAATACTGTGTTAGACTGGTAAAATACCATACGAAACGTAATATACATTACGACTTCCATTTCTCTTCGACACTATCAAGCTTGGAACGTAAATATAAATTAACGTCATAAGCTACGCTCGCGTATGCGCGTGTAACTTCCTTCAATACTGTTTAATATGCATGTATGTTTATGTGTGTGTATGTATGTGTGTGTGTGTATATGTGTGTGCGCGTTATTATATATGTTAAAATCTATTATAATTTTACTAAAAAAATATTGATTGATAAGCTACGCGTACAATACTATAATTATTAACATTTAAAAATGAGATCTAGTTTCTTTATTAATGTAAGAACAAACATTAAGAATCATTATTGAGTCGATAATGAATTTAATGCTGTATATATGTATGTGTGTGTGAGAGAGAGAATATGTGTATGTATGTCAAGTGCATTCGAAAACCTCATCTACCTGTCCCTTGTGCTCTTCTTTTACCAGTGTGTTTTCTTCTCGCCCGTTGTAAGTACTTATGTTTTATGTTCGTGCAGCGCAACCGCTGTCGGACGATTTCGAGGCCGATTTTATTTTATTACGTACGCTAATCGATCGAGTTCTTTCTATATATGGCTACGTGCTCTTCCCGTTACCCCTGCGTGTTCGAATCACTTTCACTTTAAATGTTTATTCACTCAGAAGATATCTTCATCCGGATCGCTCGAAGGTGCAGCCTGAAGCGCCAATTGCATACTGGATTCTGTATTACGCCGCTTCATTTTACCCTTAGTCTTCTTCAGCATCGTAGCCTAGGAAGGGACAGGATCAAGGGAGCGCACAATGGAGCAATCGATAAATGTCAGTCAAAATGTCGCTGACAAAATAGAAGTATAGAAATAGAAATAAAGGTAGAAATATACATATACATACATATATACATACATACATATATATATATATATATGTATATATGTATATATATATATATATATATATATATGTATGTATGTATAGAGAGAGAGAGAGAGAGAGAGAAAGAGAAAGAGAGAAAGAGATTGCGAAACTCAGGGTCAATAACTTATACGTATAGAAAAAAGGAGAAAAAAGAGAAGAAAAATTTTTACTCTCGCAAAACTAACTAACTACTATCCGATAGAATGCGTCTAAATCCACACATTACGACACAAGCTCGAGCTAGCTGCATTGGATCGAGGCATCGACAAGGTGTTACGGAGAATTGATCGGTTTTACATGCATCAACGAGGAGGGATCGAATTTTTCTTTTTTTTTTTGTATAGGTGGAATCGCTTTATAGAGATAGACGGCACGGTTTATCACACCGAGACTCCTCTCTCGCGCTGCTTACGCACGTCGAGGAATCTAGGTTGAGAGATGTCGCGTATCTTCGAAATACTCGATTAAACGTTCGAGCAGTTGTGAGCTGTAGTATGGTTGGATTACTCGTCCGTGCTCTTGCCCCCCTCCCCATTAGCAGGTAGAATCGACGGTTCGGTATTGCGACGCTTGATCTTACTTTTCTTCAACATGGTAGCCTGAAGTGAACAAAGGAACAAGGAGATATTAGTCGAGTGCGATTAGGGGAGGAAAGCATGCGCTGATAGGTATCAGCAATCAGGTTGCTTTTACAGAGAAAATACATAGAATATGTGAAACAAAAGATACTACAAACTAATACATACGGATGCTCCTGTTGAAAAAAATATACGTGCCACAAGAACGTATATACGCCCCCATTATTCTACTTAAATCCGAACAGAATAAAAGAAGCAATTGCATCATTCATTTATTAGATTTTAAGAATGGAAAGATTAGCGCGTGTATTAAAATATCAATATTGCATTGAATCAATCAAAAACGATTCTACGTTACGTTCTGTTCGTTATTTTTGTAGAATCATGAGTGGAACGGGGCAGTTTTATAAGATCTCACGTTAAAATACCTTGAGCGCAGACTTCAAGACTACAATGTCTCCGGGACTCTGAACCCACGGTTCGCCGTCTACTTGTACAGGTATATCCGAATTTAAGTGAATTTTTATATGTCCGCCCTACAAATTTAAACGAAACAATACGAAAAATAAATTAATATATCCTGTAAAAAAAATATAGAGAAAATTAAAATTTTTATATTATTAATTATGTTAACTCACCTGCGCTATTCTCATAGCCGTACGTAGACCCGACTGTATTTGTCCAAGATGCATAACGCCTGTGACTCCGACAACCTCTAACATACCATCCCAGTGATTTGGTGTATAAAATTGATCTTCTTTGGTATCTGGTCCCCACGGATTAGCACCAGAACCCCAACTAAATTGTAAGGCGAAAAAAAGTATCGTTTAAATGAAGGTAAAATATCTTTCTGAATTAAAAAAAAAAGATTTCGTAAATATTACCTTAAAATGTTCAGAATAATTATTCCCTCCACTTGCGGTAATTCGACCAATTTACCATCTACTTCTAACCGAATTTCTTTATGTAAATCTTTGCACGGCTTACGTCTAACCATCTTACGTAAACCCATAGTTACATATACACCTTTATTTCGTAATCTGCTTTTGAACTTATTAGGGTTTTCTTCTCTCGCGTTGTGAAAGTCAAGACATAAATCCGCATCGACGCCGATGCCAAAATAATTGTTCATTACATATATTTGCGTATTGTCTTCGCTTGTTGAACCAGCGCCTGTAACATAATACGATGCTACTTGCCGATAATGCGATATTTTTCTTCTCATTTCTTCTCATTTTAATGCGATATTTTTCTTCTCATTTCAAATTAGCTCATTTCCGACATGTTGAAAAAAAGAAGTCTTATTTCTCACCTGCAGCATTACAAACTACTTGAGTCTGTTCCTTCTCTTCCGGATGAAAAACTACCGTCCATCTATCCAATATTATTTCTTCCGCATCGATAACATCTCGCAATAAGTTTAACGGGTCCTCGTCGCCTGTGTATCCTGAACCCCAACATAATACACGCGCAAGATCGTTTCCTGTTCCCAAAGGTACAATAGCGCAAGCAGGAGAAGAACACTCACTATCCTGACCCACATTATCTAAACACTGTAATACCCAGCCTATTGTCCCATCACCACCGCAAACTAATATTTTGTAGTCTTTTATGTGGCGGAAAACGTAAAGCCTGCAACATGAGATACACATTTATTTTCAGCAATCTCTTTCGCGAAATTGTGTAATCAGAATTGATGTATAATTCGCATTCTTAACTTTAACATTACGATCCACTTACCCGGGGAGAGGTCCACCGTTATCGAGATCAAACACTTGATAGGGATTTAACAATTTACGAAAACTAGAAATTAACTGAAGTCCTTGACAGCCGCCAGATTTTACATTTACAAACACGAGCAGTGGTTGAACACCCGGTGGTACCATACTTGGCTCGATACTCGGTAAAAGCATTACTAGTAGAAAAAAACAAAATCAAATGGAGCAAATATTCTAATATATATTCTCATCTAATATATATATCTCATTAAAATTAATAAAAACAAAAAAATATTTTTAATGTGCATATATAAGCATGCAATTATATTATGCTATTCTTTATTTTAATTTGCGAATTGATACATATATGCACCCAGTTTGTCATCAAATATAAAAGCTACATAAAAATATGTATCATCAATACCTAGAAGACCTTTGTCTTCGTATTTTGACTCTCGCAACGCATATAATGCTCTGACCGCTTTATTCGAATCCTCGTATATAATGACCATCGAACCGTATTCGTAGTAAATTGGGCCAATTAATGAGAACCTATTTTCTAAAAAGGTCAAAAAGAGCCGCATGTAAGTTATTTTTAGTCTATATATCTATATTTTTATTCTATATATCTATATTCTTTTTTTTTTTCAAATCATACCAACCTTTTCCTAAAAATTCTATCAACATATTCTCATAGCTCCTTTCAGACAGATTTGGCGGCAAGTTGCCAACAAATAAAGCCAAATTCGGTCCATGGGGATCTTGCTTTAATTGTAGATAGAACCGCATTAGTTCCATTTGCCTAATAGAATCTTTTCCCAGCTTCTTAACAATATCCCAAGGTCTTTCGTCCCAGGACAAAACTCTTTCCGTCACTGATACAAATAAAATTTTTCTTATTATACCTCATGCAATAACATTTTTAAGACATAGAATCTTAAAGGAAATTCAAATAACTATTATAGACTTTGGATTTAAATAAAAAACGTACCGCCACGGTCTAAAAGAATTTCACTGCACCTATAGTCGTCGCAATTAAAATTTTCTAAACCAAATTTCTCGAGTGCTTCGCTTATTAAGTCTGCAACACTTGTTGCTTCGGTGACAGGTACTATACAGAATGACTCTGATACCTGCAATTTGCCCGGATAAACTCGTACTTCTCCACTGTCATTATTTCTGAAATCACAAATGTAATGTATTAATTATAATGTAATTGTATTAAAATTCTTTTTCGCTTTTCATATAGATGTAGTATTGATATACAACTATTAATATATAATGCATTACATTTTTACTTTATGTTTTTTTTAATTTAGATAAATAAACGTAGTGTAAACTTACTTAAATCGTAAGAACACAGCCGGACGTTTGCCTTCTTGGCGATTTAAATTTAAAACAGGCATTGGGTCATACAACTCAGTTTCCTCCGCGGCATACAGGTCGGTTAAGTAAAAGTTGCCTGAATTTTCCCGGAAAAAGAAAAAAATACATACATTGGTTCGATTAGTAAACTTGACAAGAAAAATTCGTATGTTTATTATATATATATTTTTTCCACATGAGTGCATACTAGGATCTTTCGTGATGTGAAATGCGCGCAATGCCAATGTGAGGACCTGCTCTGTCGTAGCCTGCCTAGGTACCGGAATTACCCGAAATATCCTTCGCCTCAAGGAGTTGTTGCCGTCGTATACCTTAATCATCTCTGTAATGTTAAAAAAAAAAACAGCAGATTCACGGAGATTAGAGGCGAAAAAAACCCCGAAACCGTTAATCGGAAGTTGTATTGAAATACCTTCGTCACCTCTTTCTTTGTCTTCTTTCTCTTTAGGAGAACGCGGATCACGGCCATGCGTTGCACTCTGTGTCGGTTCTCCATTATCACGATACCTCGCGTCACTACCAAATTCTTCTGATGTGCTCCGCGCTGCGAACACAAAAAAGATCACATATTTCGAATATTGGAAAATATATTTATAAACAATAAATTACAATATAATACCTAAATATGAAACATACAATTTAAATGTATAATACATCTTCTTCTGCGCTGTGTCTAAACTTTGATGCAAAAAATTTATTTCTTTATTACTCAGATAACATTAATGGTATCTCTCTTTGAGTTCTTTTTAATCTTTCTTTCGGAAAAGTTATAAAATATTTTATATAAAAACATCGAAAAAATATAGAATTTGTGAATTGTAATTTTTAATCTGATACATAAAACAATTCCAGCTTTAAATTATAATCAAACATTTACATACATTATTATTGTTTCTTATTATTAATTATATTGAAAATTGCCAGCTTTCGATATGTAGAGCGAAGAAAATAAATCACAAATTTGTTGTATGCTCGCACTTGAATTAGGCACTTTAAAAAGAGTGATAAATAAGAATTTTTTGAAAAAACAAATTTTTAAAACACAAAGAGCACAACATTGTATAATAACTCTGTGTGTATCATTCAAGAATAAATTACGCATCTCTCTTACCATCGAATATTTACTAGCTTTGTAGAACACACACATGATAGGAAGAATTAGTCAGTAGTATTCTTGAACTTCATTTCACTGCATAGTAGAGTGATAAGCATCATGGAATCTCATAGCATCCAGTGGGCTGAATGACAGTGCATGCACTGAAGCGAGACATACATACATGCTAAAACGTAAACAGTAACAAAATAACATCCATAAAAAAACGTTGGTGCATCATGATATTATGTAAATGCATGTCACGTAACAACCTATTTTATATATATATGGGATGTATCTATTATGCTTTTTAGAATTGTATCATTGTTTCCTACTTCTTAAGATTAAGTTCCCAGTAGTATCGTACTGCTCATTAACATCATATCAGTAGAATCGAAAAAATAATTTATGAAAGATGAAGAATAATTTTACTCTGCAAGGAATCGCCTATCGAGAAAAGTCAATTTTTACAAAATTATATATATGTTTACATCTTTATATATCTTTTATATCCTTATATTATTTATTTTTTTTTTAATGATATACATATAATTTAAAAACGAAACATATAATGATATATGCAAGAGATTAAAGAGATTTATATATTATATTACATTTATACTTTAACAACTCATATAGAATGTGTATATATTCCTATTATAATGTAGCATTAAAATGTCATTTGATATTAATATGTCGAAAGAAATATGATAGAAGCGCAAAGCTAAATATTTGCATTGCTGTTAGGCAAACTTAAAAAAATGTATAAATAAATACGATTGTGTCTCTTAATATAGCGCTTTCTCTCGCAAACGTTAAGTAAGTGATTACACGTAGAGATAGAGAGATAATAACAGCGAGAGTAACGACAGCACTACAGCATATATATTTTAATTTACTCTCCAGTCTTGTATAATGTAAGTACATCTTATAGAATTGAGTACATTCACACAGATGAATGTCTGAGGATGATAATATTCTAGATACCTCGAACATAAGGAGGGGAAGCATGACAATTTCCATGGCAGCTACGTGGCAAAACTAGCGAAAGGCGCCTCAAAGCTTCGGCTAGGCGGCCTGCAGCCCCATTTTGTTCACTCTCAGCGAAATCGAATTGCTCTCCGATGTTATCTTCACATAGAAGCAAAGGTAGACCGAATATTTTAACCGGTTACCATAATTTTTTAACTCTACTTTCTCTTTCTCCTCTTAGATACGTTCATTTCAAAACTATTCTATTTTGTTTTTTGCACTATCAAATTTACTTATAATTACGTTAGACGAATAAGCGTTTTTCGCTTTCTAACATGTCCGAGACTTATAATTAAAAAAAATGAAATGTCACTACTTTCAGCTTCTTTTGCATTTTACTCGTGAAGATATATATTATTCTGTAAATGCCAATATTTTCCTCATCAACAATAATATAATTATGAAGCTCTAGAAAATAAAGATGCTGTATCTATCAAAATATTTAACGCCTATTAAAAGCAACATTGAAATTAGCAATTAATAGGAGCAACCAGCCACAAAAGCCATATAATTTACGAATATATTATAAACAGAATACGCGTAATTAAATTAATAGATGTAGCTTCAGTGTTAAGAAGATTATGGTTCCAATACGATTAAATTTATTTACGCAGCTTAAGATTCACATAGAATATCATATAATCCTCTAAATCTATCCAACAGACAAGTGTACAACTCTTTAACTACCGTATAATGATAAGACGCGATAATAATAATATAATTTTTACAATAAATTCTCACGTGATATATTCGATGATACAAATGATTGAATATAGAATTGTGAATGTTGTAATGATTATAGATATAGCACAGTCACACACTTTATATAATTCAAAAGTTTATTACTAATTTCTCTGCATTTAGCACACTGTGCTTAGATTGAGTTTAAGGCATATCAACGATATGCAAAGATTGTTACAAACCATAGAAATACATTTTATGAGGACTTATTTTATTTTTATTTTATTCTATAAGAAATCAAAATTTTTTTATAGTTTTTATAAGAAAGGGGGCCATCGTATTTAGAAAAATATATAGAAAGCTGAGAGTGCAAGAAAAACTGCAAGTAGCAAATGTAAAAGTACATATACATATTTATACGTGAAATATTAAAAATATATTAAATCAATGATAAAATCTTTGACTAGTAATAATATTTTATGTAAATATACATATTGGTTTAAGATAAAACGAAACAATATGAAAATTTGAGGCGATAATCCTTTAGAATACAGATAGGGTTTTTCTCGTTTCACATATCGAAGAAAGTCAACGCGCGTTGCATGCTCTGAAAAGAAGGAAGAACAAATATATGTTTACAAAACTGACGGTATTTATACACGCGTATATGTGTGAGTGAGTGCTAAAATAAAACTCATGCAAAAAATTTGTTCCAAAAATTGGTTACCTTTACAAGAGTATACTTCTACGAATATATATGTATAAGAAATGTTTTGTTGTACATTCTTTTTAAACTTTAGTATATAGATCAATACAATATCTTTTGCTACCAATCATTGGTGCACATTTGCATACGTGTACAGATGCATAGTAAAAATAGATAAAATTTCATACATATATGACTTACACAAGTGTGAAAATAATTGTGTCAATAGGTAATACCGAAATGCAAGAATGAGATCGATTGAAAAAAGCGCTAATCGACGATGAAACTCACGGTGCAAGTGAAAAACGCGATAATTAACGCGTAAAATATTCAATATTAAACCGACACATTTTGCCATTATGTGTTATCTGAGTCTGATACATTGATATTATTCGTAGAAAGACATAAATCTTTCTCGTAATTCGAGAAAATAGTATATTTAATGTGACATATACACACAAAACTATATAATTATTCTATATATCTATAGATAAATGCGTGCATTGGTAATTATCAATGTGAATATGTATTTTCTTCTTTTTCTTTCGTATAAACTACAGATATCTAGTTTCATTTATACCAGTATTGATACTTTTATACGCGGCTATGTTATTAAATCTGTTTTATTAAAAGAGGTTTTATTTTAGCTTTTTATCTTTTTAAAATATCATTTTAATGTCTAAATTATATTTCCGGTGGGACCGATTAATAAAATATTAGAGTGCCTTGACGACACATTTTATGATAAAGCGCAATTTCTCATTCCATTATTCTAATTACCTGTTAACACGCACATCATAATTACACGACAGACACTTACGGCAAGAATACTCACGGGTTGCTACTTCTTTCCGACGCACTTGCACTCCAATGATCGCTTCCATTGGAACTTCGGTACGCGGAATACTAACTGCATGTGGCGGCAGGTAAATTGGTTCCAAGTTACCAAAGGTGCATTCTTGGGGAATATTCTTGTAACAATACGCGTGCGACTGAGAGACAAAATCAAAATTTATCATTAAATGTTTGTACTTTGACAGAAACTTTAGAGTCGTACTAATATGCTTTTGTCTTCATTCATACAAGAATGTAATTTACTTTTACATATTTCGTTTTAAAAACTAAATGTTGCATACTGCAATGTTTCTCACTCTATACTCTATACTAATTTCGTTAACGAAATGAAAGCAAAAAACAAACAATATATGAATAAAAATCCTTTTGTTTACCGTCATGCCGCACCACTCGCAACGAAACCCGGCAAGGCACTCGGCAGTAAAACAACTCTTTTTGCATACGGCACATTTAGAGCTGCTCGGAAGATTGCCTTCCCGCCAGTGATGAGTGTGTTTCACTGCTGACAGGTCCTTCCCAGGCAAGTACGTGGCATTCTCCTTGCAGTCTGCCACCGCGAAATCTTGGCATTCTATGTGCACGAAGTACTCGCATACTATCGACAAACAAGCGTATTTACAATTAGTGTATTACTTTTTTAGGATTTTCACATAAATTTATAATAAAGATAATATTTATTAAAGACATCAACGATTAATTAATAAAACGATTTAAAATTCCACAGCTAAGCACAAGTTTCAACTCACTTTCGCAGTGTATGGATGGATTATTATCATCCAAACGTTTCCGACAGACGTTGCAGAATTTTCTTTTATGGTGTACTTGTTCGGACCAACAGTGTGCAACCGGGTTCTATAACATAATAAAAAACATTCTATATCAATTTTACATAATTTAATTAATTATATTTACACAATTTTACGTTATTTTATTATGATAATATAAAATTAAATCAAAATATAAAAGAATCCTTGCAGTATCAAACAAATATCGTTTCTTCGTATCATGAATTTCATGATGATTTCTTCTTAACTTTAGAATTTACGCTAATTATTTTACTGCAATGTTTAATTATTTCGTGATATCCCTGGATGACAAGATTGCTTTTTTATTGCCACATAAATGAAACAAAATCGGTAAATATAGGATGTTATATTTTTATGCGTACAGGCGGTTAATCGTGCGTTGCAGTGGAGATTGATTATTATCCTACCTTAATCAGGCTTGCCGCGATGCTGGAGCAGGGAGAGACGACGGCCTTGAGACAGCGGTCGTGCACCACGAAGTTACACACTATAACAAAAAAAAGAAAATTCAAAAATACAGAAAATTAATTGTTATATTGAACAAGGGATTTACTGACTAAGCAGTAATGTGTACCATAATGTAAATCAATACAAGCCACTCATAATGTAATTTATAACAAGATCTCTTGACCTTTCACGTAAGTAAAAATGTCGAAAATAAAAAACGCAGTATTTCTTAGTAAAAATTTCAAAATTTTTACTTAATACTTTCACTGTTAATCGCGATTCACAAATGTACACGTGATAGTTTATCAAATTTCTACAGAGATCAAATAAAAAATAAAATCTTTCGAATAGCTACTGTTACATAAAAATCGGTTAGTAAAAAATTATAGATTTCTTTAATTCTTATGGTATTTTTTCAAATTTAATCTACGAATTCTTTTGAAAAAAATGATATATTGTTTTTCTTTTTTTTTTTCATTTTTTTTTAAAAAATATTTGGTGGATACTCAATATTTAAAAACTCAATATTTATAAATTTAGAGTTAAATTAATATTAATGAGTATCTCAGAATTGACCAGAGTAATTGCGATACAATTGAAACACCATCATTTAACATATCATTATTCGTTAAAAGGACGCAGGGTGACGCGACAAGTATCATATTCTTCATAAGAGCGATAATGATCGAGCTCTATCGCGCTCTTGCGACGCTAATCAGGCAAGATGTGGGAAATTTGTCGCATCGACGCGCAGGTGCGGCCCGAAATAGTACTGTGCATCCGCTTCGTTAAGAAGGCGCCATCAGCCACCATCGACGATCGACCACGAATGCCGGGGTTAACTTTAACTCTTCGAGTGGGTAGTTTCAATCGAAAAGAAATATTCCTTGTCGTAGAAGAAAAAAAGGGAAATTTGTTTATCCATATCCATTTAAATTTTGCTTCCAGCGCCAGGTTTTCCTCAATCATAAAAAACTACCTTAAAAAAAGATACGAAGTATTAGTTTAAAGAGAAATGTATCTCTCTAATGAATGTAGAAAGCATTTATGGTGCTAACATTTTGATTAAATCCAAGTGGATTTGTGTAAACATACATGAAATGATCGACACCAATCAGGTGTTTATCATATCTAATATAAAGAACACGATATTATTTTTCATCGAACACGAGATTACCTTTTAATATATGTACTTCTACATATTCAACCGCGAATTTTATCATGGTTTTCCTTAGCTTTCTTTTCTTTTTCGAAACAATATATATTATCTTATTCTAAATGCGAAAAATCATAGATAAGAGAAATATACTTCTTGTGAATCAATGTTGTCGATTCTGTTTACATCTGTTTGAAAATCGCTCAAGCTAAAGATAAGCATGCTTTAAATCGCATTTGAAATCTCGGAAAAAAGGAAAAATATTGTATCAATCTTTCGGCAATCATATACATATATCTTAAACACACGTATGTCGGTTTTTATTTTCCAGCGATTATTTTTCGGATTCTTTTACATTTATATATATTTATAGATTAGTTTTGACTACCAATTTGTAACAATTTTAGTTGCAGTAACAAATCAATCAATTACTTTAAAACTGCGTATGTACGTGATATAATTAAATTTTCAAACTACGAAAAATATCACAATAATTTCGTAATCTCATCTATTATAATAATCATCTACAATCTTACGTGCTCTTGTCTTCATCAGTTTTTCTATATGCATGAAAGAAACATAAAAATTTAAATATACATTGATCTGTATTATAAAATATTTTCTCCATCGATATACTTTATGCACGATAAATACAATCTAAAAGAATACGATGAAATTATAACACACACAATATTTTAAACTCTCATTTCTAAAATCAATCATATATACATATAATGCCTTATCTCTAATGATATTTCGGAGCTTTTTAATAATAATGGAAGCATTTGAGTTGTAATTTTGCAAAAAATTTTTGTTATTTTACGGAAATTATTTCTAAAAATACAAAACAAAGAGAATACATTGACGTTGTATAGAAAAATAGTAACGAAAAAATCTATTTTGTAGAATCTATTTTTATGGATATGTATTATTTAGTACATGTATATTTTTATATATTTTTATATATATTACCCAAAAGAATATCAAACAATTAAACTGTTAAAAAAATATGTAAGAAAATACGAAAAATATTAATAATCAATATTGATTATAATCAATTTCTGAAATGTGCAATGTTTTCTACGTACAAATCATTTAATTCGTGCTACAGTGTAACTTATAATAGATTTTAATATTTGATAGAAACGTTATTTATATATATATATTATATTTATATATAATAAATTAAGAAAAATATAATATATCAAAAAAATTTGATACATATCGTTTTCTGGATATATAATTAAACTTATTTTTTTATTTTTTATATAAGTTATATCTATCAATATTTCTGTTATATGAGACTTTAAAATTTGATATCACATTACTGCGACATACGATTAACATTATTGTTTGTTAAATTAATGTATTGCTTCATATTTCTCTATTTATAATAAAAATACAATTATATAATATAATAAAAATACAAAATTTAAGCAAAATTTAACAAAAAAAATACTGATAAAAATAAATTAAATAAATAAATCGTTACTATTTGATCGATATGATAATGCTAAATTCAATACACACCTATTCTTATGTCGTGTATATGATGGTTGATGCCATTATTTAAAAAGATGTTTATTTTTCTGACATTTGTACAAAAAAAGCGTCTCTCACAAATGTATTAATCATTTTTTAGGTGAAAAATGTGTTTCTCATCATAATATTAAAAGTTTTACTACCCACAGATATAATAATAAAGTATTAATTAATGTATAACATATTTAAAAAATTATTATTTTTGTATGTGATGTTATATGTAATTATTGTGTATGAAATTACAGAAGATTTAGGAAAGATTTAATTACAATCTGCAAGTTACATTTTTCACGTTTACCTTACCAAGTTTATTATCATTGTTGCATATCATTTTAAAGAGAGATGTTCACGCAAACCGAAGATTATATTATCATGCATAATTTTTTTCTTGAATTAATATAAGAAATTATTTTTTTCACATTATATTTCGAAAATTGTAATTATATTTCTAAAATTGCATAGTTCAGATTTTTTTGACATTCATCATTCTTATATAACGTGAATCGGAATGTCATATATATTTATAATAAATAGATGTCAACTTAGATCTTTATCTCTTTTTGCATGTAAAATATACTGGTAATCATTTCCTAAATTAAATGAATGAGACAATGTTGTTGATCAGTTAGGAAATTATTGCAAATTAGTTTACAAAATTAGTTAGGAAATTATTGCAAATTTAACTTACAAAAATAAAATGTTAAAAAATTGCTATGAATTTTGTTAATACAAGACATCTAGAAGCATTCCAATTATCATTAACACTAATTATCATACACCAATTATCATTAACACTAATTATCATACAAACACAGATATAAATCGTGAAATATTTAATATGTTTAATATGTTTTACTAAAAAAATATCCAAATATTCATTATATAACATTCATAATATAATTCATAATATAATATAATTCAAATATCATATTAAGATTGTTCAATAGTGATGCGACGAAATATCTGATACATTGGACTTATACATTAAAACAAGATACAATTAATGATTCAAGAAGCATGAAATCTTGAACGTGAAATTAAAAAAATAAGCATGAGGATTAAATTGTGTTTCAAGTAAGTTTATAAAGAGAATCATTAGAATCCAATCCTTGTAGATTGGATTTATATATATAAACTTACAAAATACTAAGTATAATTTGCAGACATAAAAACAACAACTTTATTTAAAGCAACCGACAGTAAAGCGATCAATACATTGTAGCAAGGTTTTTATATATATAACAATGGCTTTAGAGATATAACACTTTATCTTCCACTACTGTGAAATTAGAATTATATTACTAAAATTTTTATGTGATGGATAGAGACCACTGGTTCCTCTCAAAGATTTCAGAGAACTTTTGATACATGTTAAAAAGGATTCTTATCGATTGAATCGAAATAATAATAGTCTGAATGTCTAAATATGAGATTTAAATATGTAAGGAGTCAATTTTATACGACAAAATTATAAATTTTTCCTCAGTAATAATAAATTTCTCGTTAATGTAATAGATTTTTTTAGAAGTATATTTTTTGTTAACTTGTAGCAATATTTTTAACAAATTCTAATCAAATTCTAATAAAATTCTAATAAAATTCTAATAAAATTCTATCAAAAAAATATCGATTCAAATCGATTCCGATTATGAAATGAAAAAGTGATCAATTTTAACAAAAATGTAAAGTTGATATTTAACGTCCTTTCGTCTATTCTTATTTTTTATATTTAATTATCAAAAATTTTTCTTGAGAGAAATTAATTATTTATCGTTTGCTATGATTTCGTTCGCGTAAATTAAAATTAAAAAAAAAAACCATGATATTTTATACAAAACATTTATAATTGACTTTCGAACAAAATAAAATGGCCAAATAATCCAAGTAAAAAATAGCCAACACTTTTTACATAAAGCAACGATAGCTTTAGCGATTACTTTGTACAACTTTTTACAAACTGCGACTAAGCACAGCGCGGTTAAAAATTTTTTTTATCCCTATAACGTCTCCCACTTTTTTCGCGACTATAAAGGCCATCAGTTTCTAATGAATATTTTTACTCTCATTACGCTTTCTTTTTCTTCCTTTTTTTAGACGCTAAATATATCCATAACGCGCACACTTATATTTACAGGCATACCGTCCCTGTAATTAAATTCATCTTTCAGGAGAGAGAGAGAGAGAGAGACGACAAAATTATCTAAACTCTGCCACATTTTTCCCCCTTTCCCCCCTTCCCGCCTCCTATCTATCCTTCCCTCTCCCCTCTCCGAATGACGCTCGATACATCTAAGGCAGCTCTCTTCATCGAACATTCCGAAAGAGCGCGACAGCTCGGACACAAGGCTCGTTTCTGCTCGCGTTACAACGAAGGTTCTTTACGCCTCTTTACCCGTCAGCGAGCTCTCACCCCCACCTCGGGGGGGCAACCCTCCTCGCCGTCGGTGCCACCGAGCGTTCGCGCTCTCCCCTGTCCCCTCCCGCCCCCTCGGAACACCACCCAACTCCAGCAACCTTATCCGTGGTCTTTCAGCCATCCTACCCCACCCCTCGCGATCAATGCTCGTGAAAGGTGGGCGCGCGTTCGCGCTCGCGCCCTCTGCGATCTGCGTACGCCGTCGTTTCCCACCCCCTTGTCCCCCCCGTCCCTTTCCGAGGCTCCCCTTTCTGCTTTCCTCGACACAAATCCCTCTATCTCTTTATCTCTTTCTCCTTCCAATCCCTATCCATCCGTCTCCTCTCCGTTGCACTCTCCGGTCGCGCGGCTGACGCGTGTTCGCGAGAGGCGCTAAAACGCCCGGAGACCCGCCGAGGCACCGTCGGGGGTGCGCGGCACCCTGACCCGATTGAATAAAACCGCCCGCCGCGCCGCGTCTGTCATTCACACTCGGAATCGCTATTCAGATACTCGGCGGAGTAGCGCGGGATCTCCAGATTTCCCGGTATCTTTCCGCGGTATCTTAACCGAGCGGCGAACTTGCTTATCGATCGACTTCGCGGTTCTTTTTTTTTTTAAAGCGCTCGCTTTTAAAATTTTGAACGTCCACCGAGGACCCGTCATCGTCGATGTTTCCTGTCTTTCGTCCTTCTTTCGTGCGCGCCTGGTTATACGATTAAAGGGACGAAGCTCGAGGAACCCGTATCGCGCGTTAAAGAGACGGGCTCGCGCAAGTATTTCCGAAGCATGTTGGTCCCTCGCGGAGCTGTGCGCATCCTCCGGCGTGGACGAGACAGAGATGCGTACTCTCCGCGCGTGCGGATGTACTCTACAAGAGCTATCTCTCGTCTCGAATCTACCCTCTTTTCCTTCTTCCACTTTTGTCCGTCTTGGACTCTACTTATTTTCACGTATACATTGCAAATTCTAGTCATCGTTCCAATCATCTCTCGTGCTTAATTCCGAGAGATCTATCCCGGAACGCATAATAAACGCTTCTCTGTGCTCCCTCTCCCCCTCAGCCTACGCTATCTATCTCTCTCTCTCTCTCTCTCTCTCCTCGTCGACGCTTCTGGCTCCAACTTTGACGGGAGAATCACGCGACGCGATCTTACCTTCGCAGATGTACCCCTGCTGAATGAGGCCCCAGAGCATGTCCGTGCAGCTATGGCAGTACGTCGGTTTGTGAAACGTTTTCTTACTGAAGCTGTGCCCATGGCTGGCTGGAGTCTCGGCCGAGACCGACGCCATATTCCCCGTTCCACCGCGGAACCGTTCACGCCAGATTTTCACCGTGAAGCTACGCAGGGCGCGCCGCGCGACGATGACAACAACATAATTACACGCCCGACACTACGTGATCTCGGAACCGTACATAATTGCGCTGTTGCAGCTGCGATGATGGTGGCGATGATGATGATGGCGGTGGTGGTGGCGGTGGTGGTGGTAGTAGTAATAGCGGTGGTAGTAGTAATCGTAGTAGTAATCCTCGTCGTCGTCGTAGCTGGCCGCAGCACACGCTGGTCGCGGGCCCACCACACGTCGCACCGTCGTACCGTCGTCGTCGTCCCGTCGTAATCGTCGTAACGCGGCGCCTCGTCGTCGTGCTAACGTCGTCGTGCCTAACGCGCATTATTCCACGAGCTGCGCCTCGGGACGAGCCACGGGACGCCGGCAGCCACGATCGCGCGCGCCAGATGCGTCGTCGCCGTCGTGAATCGTCGCCGCCGAACCACCGCCGATCACTGTCGCTGGTATCTCGCGGCCGCCGCCGAGCATCACCGTCGTCGTCGTCGTCGTCGTCGTCGTTGTTGTTGTCGTTCCTGTTCCTGTTGTTCTCGTTGCCCCTGCTCCCGCCGCTGACGTTGTAGCTGGTGTCGGTGCTCCTGCCGCCGCTGCCGATGTTCTAGCTCGCCTCGCTTACGGTACGACGCCGATGTCGCGTTCGCGCATCCGATGAGCCGCCGCCGCCGCTGCTGCTGATACGAGCGAACGCCGCCGAGTGGCCGCACTGACATCAGCCCCTTTTCGTCACCGCCACCGGCCAGTGGCGGATGCGCTGTCCTAGCGGCCTAAGTGGGGCGTCATATGGGGGCCGAATGATCCGAGCCGCCCTCTTCCGAGCGCAAAGAAGCTGTCAAGGGCGTGCTCTCCTCTCTCTCTCTCTTTCTTTCTCTTTTGTCGATTATCCTCTCACGTATAAACATCAATTGCGCGACGCTTCGTTAATCGAGGAAAGCAGGCCGTTTTCATGTTAACGATTTTTTTTCCCTCCGAATATATATCTCGTCGCGATCGAGCGTTCGCTCCCCGAGGACGCGCGCCCAGGGGAATTTTCGCCGAGGAAAATTTTCACGGGGACGGAAGAGCCTCGTTCTCCAGCACTGACGGTGACGATGGCGACGAAAACGGCGCGCGTGTTTCCTCGTCGCTTTTCGCTCGACGCTCCAACTCCAACGCGTCTCCTCGTTACGTCTCTAATTTTCAGTATCTATTTTCGACTTATCTCCCTCTCTCTCTCTCTCACTCGAGCCAAAGTCCAAATGTCCGCGACGTCGCTTCGCCCGATGACGTCGCTCGCACGCGGATCCGACTTTCGTCCTTTCGACGGACGAGGCTAAAAGGGCCCTCGACGACGCTCGCGCGTCGGTCGCGAACGATCTCCCCGATACCGATGTATGATCCCCGGTGACGCCGCCGATTATCGTTATCGTTTCGCACATTCGCGCGCCATCGCACGTCGTACGTGTATCGCGATCGTCGTTAACTCCGTTAATCGAACGTGAATTAACGCACGCGACCGGGACGATGCCCGACGTCGACGACAGTACGACGACGGCGATGGCGTCGACGTCAGTGAGAGGAGCCGACGCGACGTCGACGTCGCTTTCCGCCTCGACGCGCCGACGCGCGATCCCCGTCCCCGTCCTCTTCCTCTTCCTCGCGCTTCCTCCTCGCTCGAGGATGCCGCCACTCGGTGGACTCCGCCGCCAACTCGATGTACGTGGATGTATGTATACGGATCTTTTTTAAAATCCTCCTACAGCGCGCGGTGCTGCGATCCAAAACCGATATATTCGCAATGACAGCATAATCAAAGGATAAATAATCAGATTCTTCTTCTCCTCCTTCCAAAGTTTGGGAAGCTACTCTCTCTTCGGTCCATCTCCTGTGTCACATGGCATTGTAATTTTATTTATACAAATTTATTTATTATTATTATTTATTATTTATTTATTAGCGCCTACTTAATCTTGTAAAAAATTCCTCGTTTAAACATTTTACTTTTGTTCAAAATCCTAAAGTTAACTTAAAGATTTTTTGCTGCAGCTTTTTAAAATAATTTTTTGTATCGTATACGTTTTTCAATGTTTTTTCACTTATACAAAGAGCTGAAATTTGAAGATTAAATTTGCAAACATATCGTAAAAAAAAAACTGAATACAGTTGAGGTAAACATTTTTCATCACTAAAAATACAACAAATATTGCGCATTTCAGATTTTGTTAAAACATTGAATATATAATACAATACACAAAGATATATATTTATAATATATTTCAAACATACGTAATTCATTAGACTTGTCGACTGCTTACAAGAATAAAATTATCAAAGAGCGAATTTCAAAAAGGATTCCCAAGTTGTAATAAAATTCCGAGAATTTAATTTTTTTCAAGTACAAAAGAAATCTCTGAGAATTATCCTAGATTTTCCTGGAAGTAGACTCTCTACTTATACATTCTCCACAAATTATATACTTTCTACCACAAATTCTAGTTTATATTATCTTTTTTTCTTATACATCTCGCGATGCATTTGATTAGGCGGACCGCGCTCGAGGGGATGCTGGATAAATAATAATAATAATAATCTCTTAATTATCTCTTATAAATATCTTGCTTCGCGATGTCGAATTAATTTACCGATTTACAGAGTGTCTGTCCTTTAAAAAAAAGCGGATAATCCTTCAGAGTTTGAGACGATACCCTCTATCAATCCCGGCCTCGTCGCTTCCGATCTTTCTTAGCGCGCGGATAAATCACAAATAAAAAAGACGGCGTGTGGATACAGAAAGCGAGGCGCGTTCCATTTAATCGTCGTCGTCCTCTCGATAATGGATGCTGCCTATTATCGTCGCGACGCCCGTCGTCACATTGTATGTACCATACATCGGCGCGCATTCGTGATACACGTCCGGGATATGCGATTGCATGTACGGTGTTACAATGCGAATCGGGGGAGTTGCGGCGGACGGGATTTTTCAATAACGGAAACACACACGCGAGGGAGAAGGAAGATGAGGAGGAGGAGGAAGAAGAGAGAGAGAGAGAGAGGGAAGGAGAGAGAGTGGCACGCATTTTCACATCCCTGTCACGTCCGTTGTATTCATTAAACCGTCTGCCGCACATGGCTACATTGATGGACATTATGAAGTTATATCTCGCCGCGCGCGGTTCTATTGTGCGATCGAACGTGAATGAAACGGGGTTTAAATTTCAATAACTGTGCGCGAGCGCGCGCGGGAGGGAGAGGCGCGCTAAATATGTGCATCTCCAACTGTATTCGTTATTATAAACTACCGTTGTGATCATACGCACGCATCTAAATTATATGCGCGACGCGCGTGTTAGAAACGTATCATTAATTTCGACGACAGGTTTAGCGCTTTAGAGGGTGAATTCAAGCGAGCGCGATCTCGCGAACAGAGAACTCGTTCTGGGACCGGCACTTTTCACCTTTCGACTCTGCTACGAAAATTTTGCAAAAGAAATAAATGCCCTCTCTCTTAGATATCGTGACGTGAAATCAAAAGTATGACGAGAAATAAATCTTTTAATTTACTTTTCGATCCTTTTCTCGTTGCTGTCAAAATTAACGCTTTTCCAGAAATATATTCGTGCATTCGTCGATTTGAGCGGAAATAGTTTCGAGATTATACGATAATGATAATAATACAGACAACTATCTGTCATCTGTTTTTACAGATTTTATTTTTGGACGGAGCGCAAAGCATCGTCTTTTATGTCAATGCAACATTTGGTCTTAACATAATACATATTTCACATTTCTTAACATCGATAAAGTCTTATTCTACAGTCCTGTCGCTTCATCAAACATCAGTATCAAGGGCGGAGAGGTGTAGAGCAACAAAGATAACTTATAAACTATTTTTGATTCCGACAAAATATATACATTGTTGTGTGTCGCTTCCAGATACTTTAAAAGCTCAAATGCAATCGAATGTGACATTTACGATTGTGTTATGCAGATTAATTATGTAATTACAAAGTGCATTACGTCCCTTGTTAGTTGATCTAATGAGCATATTAGATTGTTGCATAAGTATGCTTTGACGATTACATAATAAAAAATAAAAGATTCACATACCGCAAAATACACAATTGAGAATTGATAAGTAAATTTAAATATGTTCCGCGAATTCAACACTTATCTCTGTCGATATCCATAGTATATATATAATACATCCCGCTTATACATAATCAAGTTGTAACAAATGGGTATAATATATCTCAAAGTATTCTTTATATCATGTAACAATATTATACTCTTCTCTTTCTTAAATTCAATTTTTATACTACTAAAATAAAAATTATTTCAAAATATATATTTATAAAAGAAAGAGATTGAATAAGAAAGATATATCTCTCATTCAACATTTAAAAAGATATATAATTGTGCTTATTAGTAACATTTTAAAAAGAAGATTTATTTATTTAATAAATTTAAGAAATACTAATTAGCCGAATACCTTGGCGAAATTTGATTAGATTCGATTATATTTATTCGATATGTATAGAGTATTTATATGTATATATGTATAACACACATATAAACGTTACACAGGGACGAATATTTACGAATATGTTTAACTTATTGTCTGATTTTTAATATGAAAAGTACTTTGAGAACGCACAAATCGAGATCTTCAATTTATACATTATATTAGTATACCTCAATTGCACATTTTACAACAGTGCAAATATTTATGTTACAAAATATCTCGATTAATTTTAACAATTGAATACGAAAATCGATAACTCTTACATCTTGCTACACGTATACACGTATACAAGCTTCATAAAAATACACGATATGATGTAACATTTTAATAAAAATACAGGAGGGAAGGGGGCGACACATATACGTCACGTTAAAAATTTTCTAATAAACTATTATCGAATAAAACTGAATCTAACTAAAGTTTGCTCAAAACTTGTGTCGCTGTCACACCCGTGCGATATCATATTAAAATAAATGCTAAGATAATAAGATATTCTTTAACCCTTAACTGTGTTTGTAGCGCGAAAAATCACATATTATGTAAAATCTGTATCTTAAGGAAAATTATATACGTGCAATCATTTGTCATAATAAAATAATAATAAATAATACTTTCTATAAAAAAATTATATAATTATTAAGTCACAGATTTGTTTTAAGATATTGTATGAAATAAAAATAAAATTAAAATATATTTATTATTAATGGTAGAATGTGAGTCATGTGGAACAAGCAATAGTGATAGATTCAAAGTATTTAATTGTGCAAGAATTTTTGCGAAAACTGAAATGAGAAACACACAAATAAAGCGCCATTATTCGTGCGGTCTCTAACAAGATGGTTCATGAGTATTAAAGAAGAAAAAGCAAGAGAAAAAAAAGAATAAAAAATTTGCGAAAAGCATGGAATCTTTCCTAAAACTGAAACCATCTTATTTTTCTCCTACACATAAATATCTGAAAAATTGATAATATAAACGATTGCATATTAAGATATCACTATACAGAGTTAAGAGTTAAAAACAATACAGCTACATTTTATTTTTATTTTTCTAAAAAAATATTAATACTTCCTAACAATTCTGAATCCGTCAAAAAAAAAACAAGAGTCGGTAGTAGACATGCGGTCTTTGATTTTCTCTTAGCTCAATTTCAATCAATATCTTTAATCCATCTAATATTTTAACAATTATATTGAAATACAGCATTAAAAAATATGTTACATGGTTCGATAGACTGACACAGATGATTACATAATATTAATGCAGTATAAATTAGGAGATAATATCTAAATCGTTTAAGTACAAAAAGAAATTTATTCAGCTAGATAAGGCAAATTACAATTAACATTTATTAACATAATTTATGTTAAATTTATGATTCTCATCGACATTGCATTTTAATGCTATTTTCGAGATTCTTTAATTTTTTTCAAAACTACTCACGCTTGACAAACTTTAACAATCACTAACTTTATCATCGTTAAAGAATTCGTCAACTACCGATTCCCATCTTTTTCTTTGTCACAATCTATTTTTTAGTTTCAATTATAATGTACTCTTATTATTACAGATTATATATCGATTTTCTTTTCTAATATTGGTTAAAAATGTGCAGACACCTTTATTGTAGTCATATCTATATTTCAAATTCAAGGAAACACATCCGGGATTTCATTAACGATATATTATGTAATACAGAATATACGATATTTAATTAACAACACATTACATCTCGTAACAAGAGTGATTGTGTATAAATAAATTATATCTCAAAAACGCTCGATATGAAAATGCTAGATTTAATATTGTAATTTTATTTCCTCATAACATTTCGTATCATTAAATAGAATTTTCATAAAAAATTATTTCTTATTACATGCAAAAAGAGAAATAAAGATGCGATATAAAGAAAACTTGAAAATGTTGTTACGTTAATAATATCAAATATTCGTTTTTTCAATCAATAAATAGAGCTTAGAGATTTTCAAACTGTGTATGACAATTATATAATGTCGTTTTAGAGAGATGTGCAGAATAAAGGTAAAAAACCAATAGAGAATAGATAAAAAATGTGTGTATATAAAATATGTACACAATCGCATCTGATATTCCATCTAGTGATAATTTAACAAAATTGTATAAATGTAACTGACATTGAAGATTTCAAAAATTCACAACACTTATAAAATCAAAGAAATTCTTAATCAAAAAAATATTAAAACCTCTCTCTAATTTATATTGTTAACATATTTGTTAAAATAATAAATTTGATAACCATACATGTGTATCTGCACGCAAAATATTACTTGTATGTATATATATATATAGCTTTTTTCTAAATTTTGCATTTCTTAAAGCAACAAATATGAATCGTATGATAATATGAAATGAAATAAAACATAATTGTGGGAATGTATAAACTTACGACGAAGTACGCCAAAATATTATTTTAAAGAATATTATCCCAATCCATGATCCTCGAAAAATCCCTGAGGAGTCTCCTCCTGTAACAAATACAAGAAAATAAGTTCATCGACATCATACTTGAAAATTTCTAACAAATAATATGAACAGGGATCAATTACTTTGACGCTGCACTTTATAAACACATTACGAAAAAAGATAGAATGAAGATGTATATATAAAATATATATATATATGTATATATAAACACGTACCTACTGCATAATAAAATTCTCTTCTTGATGCAGCTTCAAATGATGAACTGAACCCTTTTCATATCAACCAAGTGACTTTACTCGCGTGGACACACAAAGCGCATGTTTATTTATTATCTCGATTGAAATCTTAAGCGCCAATAAAAAATTGTCTAATTTACATGCAACGTGTCGAATTGCGGAGTGTCTTCCACGAGGTGAGACAAGAAATAGATGCGATATTCAACTCTATATGCTCACCGCGTGAGACAGCTTAACAATGTATATTCTACAAGAGATATTTAGCTCAAAAAGATAGCTAAAATGTGTTTCGCGAAAATATCTGTTTCTCAATAAATTAACTTTAACAACGAACTTGAGTTGCCTCAGTCGTGTGTGTTATCTCTTTGAGATTTATATTCGTTTAACTGATAACATAGGCCAATATGAAACAGACAAGGTGTTATGTACGCGCTCGTTTTCAATTACAATGTAAAAATTTCGTTCGATATATTTATTATTAAACTTACACTTAATGTATAATTAATTATACATTAATACGTTAAAAATTGACAATGCTTAATATATGAGCGTGTATATATACATATATATATATATATATATATATATATATGTATATATGTATATATATATATAGTATATAAAGTTTCGAATTACTTGTAATAATTAAAATAGTATTTTTTTTTAAGTAGATAGAGAGAGGTACGTAAGAAATATATATTTTGTACGTGATAGTCGCCTAAGAACTGACGTATTTCAATATAGCACATGTGTATAACGCTTTCATAAAAATAACTTATAAATACACAGAATAATTTTATTGCCATAGTTGAGGATTAAAGTACGTTGGGGTAACTGTCGTCACTTACTTATCAAGATGTACGTTAAAAGTTATGATCGAAATTTAAAAACTATAGTTCAGCCTTTGGTTAGTAACATAACATTTTGTTTTACGCAAGAGACGACTTTCTTTTTTCGATATAAAAATATATTAACATATACAGAGAATGCTCCAAGTATCGTGCACATTTTCTCTCGAGCAATAAGCGTTAGAAGTTAATAAATTAACGAACTATAAGAAAAATATACTATTTCCAAGTAATGAATTTGCTAATTATAAAATAAATAGATTTTTGGTATCTTTTTCAAATATACTTTAAGTGGATTCTTAAACTTCTAAGTTAATTAATGCAATCTTATATTTTATTTGGTTTAAACCTGTATGCATTTTTATTAGAAATAAAATGACAATTTTTACGATATTATATACTTCATATTGGAAATCAAGGCTTTTAAGAATAAAAAAATTAGTTTTTTTTCCTCGATTTTTTTTTATCAATTCCTAAATGGAATTTTCATCACGCAGAAAGATCGTCAATTGACTTATCATCAATGAACTTATAGCCAAAAGAGAAAATGTACGATGCCTCAAACGTCCTGCATATGACTAGTATAAAGTTGACTTGAAATTTTATATATTTCTATAGTAGAGTCGTAATGGCATCATGCAGCGGATAAGCCTTTTCTGGTTTTTCGGTTGATCATGTGGGTTGATACTTTGTCCATGAAGCTCATGCAAACAATAGGGTACCTATAAAAGCCCTATCTCCCGCAGAGCACCTTCCACAGCTTCGTCCTTCCACAACAAACAAAGAAAAACTAACTAGTCTTCGCTAAACTTCTACTTTGTCCCTATCTACCATGGACTTAATATATATAATACATATTGTGCAATATTATATACAAATATTTGGAAGATTACAGATATTAAAAATCACATATTCATGTACAATCACAATGCACGCTCTTTTTTCCACACACACACACACACACATACACGCGAGTCTCACAGTATTCTTTCCATAAATCACAACATATTAAAGTCTTAAGTTATAATGGTATAAAAATGATCTTGTTAATAATAATATATTATTATTTATGCGTTCTTTTGTTTTTATTTATAATTTATAATTTGATATCTTATTTCATTTAGAAACTTATATATAAGATAATTTTTCTAAATATAGCTATAGACTTTAAATTCTTTTAATAAAATTATAATTTCTTAAATAATTTTAAATATACATATAATAATTTTAGTAATAATATATCATATTTAAATATTTTGCAAAAAAATTGATGTCATTTATGAGATTACATGAAACTCTCGGAATTCAGTATTTTCATAAAGTTATGATACATTATTTGGAAAATATATGAGACAAATGTTACAAAGTGAATACAATTGTTGAAAAGTATTTATTAAATTTTAAAGGCATACACACACATATACATATCAAGACTCTACAAATGGCAACATATACGTAGTAATACACTTCTCATTTATTCTACTTCTAGTGCTGTGTGTCGCACATAATCACATCTATGAAATAATTGATAAATCTAGATCTGAATACACTGAATAAATTTAAGATATTAATATGGCAATAATACGTTAACATCACTCTCTTATTCTTACTACAAAAGATTTACTTAGTGCTTAAATTATTGCATTGGTGCCATGCTTTTGTACGAATTCGAAACATATAATCATATGGCAGTTAATGGAAGATCACGAATGAGTTTTCATCCACTCGGTTTTCGATGAGAACCGTTATGCAAAGGGCATATCTTTCTCGCATATCTTTCTTTAACGCATTCACAATTTTTATTGCTTCATGTCTATGCCTGTCAGCACAGCGACTGTCATCGATACTCGAGTAAATTAAACAAATTCGCAATTTGTTTATTAGTAACAATTTTTCATTCGCTTTTAGAATATTTAACGTCATTCTATCCAATGTCACATCATGCACGTAGTTTAAAGATTTTTAGATCATACATACAAAGACATAAAGTAAGCATTCAAATTTTTAAACACGCAATTTAAATATTGTATAGAAATAACTTATAATAATAAAATATTATGCATTATATATATTAGCATCTTATAAGGACCTTTCTATATCATTTTTTCTACATAAAATATATTACAAAGAGAAAATATCATGAAAATGTTGTGTGTTATTAAGAGCTTGCTCTCGATTTTTAAAGAGATTCTATTTTTTACAAATATTTACACGTATTATTAACATGAATTATTATTAAATTTTTTATTCAATCAACATTTATCATAATTTACAATAATTTTAATTTAACATTTGAATTTTAAACAACAATCCTTTACATTAAAACGATTAATTTAATGAAAAAAAAATATATATATATATTTAATATATTTAAATACAAAATAAAATAATTCTGCCAAGATTGTCAAATTTTTAATATATTGATACATTAATAATGTTTAAACATATTTAATATTTTGTGAAATATTAATATTAAATAATAATATTAATAATTTTAGGAGATATAAGATGGACACTTTATATATGCATAACATACATCATTCATAGTAAAGTAAAAAAATATTATTACATATCAAAAAGCCATCAAAAATATTTAATTTGTAATTTTTATCTCGTAAATTATGTTTTTAAAATATTTGTTTCAAATTTAAAAAAACTTCATATAAGGTATCATTTCTATTTTTTTATAAATAAATAACTTTCTGACAAAAAATCTAACAGCAGACTAGAATGAATGACACCTCATATATATCCTTATCAAATTATTTTTAAATATGGCATATTATACATAAAAAATAATGTACTATTAATGCAACATACAATTCAATGATTAAAAACGTTTCAACAATTCCAATATTAGAATGAATGAAATATTAATAAAAAGATATTTCTCATTCATTATTGCTATAATCTATTTAGAAATTTCAAATAATATGCACATTATAGTAATGTATAAATTATTTTGATTTTAATTTTACAGTTTTATTTATTTGCATTATCATAATTTAAGATATGAAGAATAAATGTATCTTTAACCTTTGTTCTTAATGATTTTACAACGATTTGTTTTGCTAAAAATTTACTAGTATCTGAATAAACTCCTAATATATAAAAAGTAATTTTACACATATGTAATCAAGTTAAAAATAAGATTAAAATAATCTGTCTTTCGACAAGACACATAAGTAAACTTAACTATAAGTTCTATCTATTGTGTATATCTCAATGTAAAATATATATTGTGCCTTTAATTGGATAAAAATATCCTCCAGCATATAATAAACATATTTTTATTTGTATTTTTTTTTTCATTTAAATTATGATCACTAGAAATCTCAAAAATTTGAGTTTAACATTTTTTTTTATGTATTTACTAGTATAAATGTAAATTTTAAGAGAAAAAGATGCCTATTTTAAAACTTTCTTTCTTGGTACAAATTCTTCGTACAAATTACACAACAATATCATTACAATAGTACTCACACTATATAGCTGCTATTATGCACAGATATTTAGATATTTGCCAATGATACAAATTAAATTTAACACAGTAAAGTACATGATCCTTTGTGACTAAATGAGAAGCGCAAGCATTTTTTTAAAAATTGATTATCAAAATATTCAATATTTAATATTTAAGTTTGTTATATCTTACAATTTTTTACTAATATATAACACTTTATATTGTAGATATTGCTCATGCTTAATAAAAGATAGGATAGTTGAGATATGTAGAATAGTTGAATGTTATCGAAATAGAAGCATTCGATAAAGTATAAAAAAGAAATCAGAGAAATCAATTGATAAAGTTATTAATTTTAAAACCACTTCAATGCATAGGAATGTTTGCAACAATTGACACGAGAAATAACATATAACAGAAGGATTATTATCTGGTTCTGTCACATTCTGTATGTTATAAAAGAATATATGTGAAATAAATCATAAACATAGTATGAATAATGAATATATACATATCATACACAGGCAATAAGTATGTGTGTGTATATATATATATATATATATATATATATATATACACATGGGATTATATCAATGTGGCAACTAACATATTGTTTGATTACATCGTGCAAATATTACAACACAGAGAATTGTCAACAAAATAAAAAACTGATTTAATACTATGTAAAAAGGTGTAACTATATACATTATTATATATAATTGTATATGCAAGAGGACAGGCAAGATTAAAGCAAGTAGAAAATTTGAATTATTTTAGAGGCAATTATTAATATTTTTAAATGCCTTCATGCATGCATGTCCTGTAATATTATTCATTTCTATATTTTTACAAATCTATTGTTACTAGGTGTTAAATTTTAAAATATGATAGATAATGGCTAAGTATAACTATATATATCAAATAGATTGCTTTAATTTATTGTAGATTTTTGAAATTTCTATAATTTTTTTATAAATGTAATTTTCTTATAAAAGGTATTAATATTGTAAAGAAAAACTAAATTTGAAAGTCAGAAATAAAAATTTTAAATTTAAAAAAAAAGAGTTTGATCATATATCACCTAGCTTAAATAGATTTTGTACCTGCTTGATTCTTGCAATATCATAATCGTTTAATAAAAACGATATATGACTAGCAAGAAGGAGCAATAGAGATCGCTTTAATTTATAATTAATAAATATTAATTATAAATATTATGCAAATACAAAATTCTCATTTGTACTCTTTCCACCTGGATATAGTTCTTCTAAAGTTCTGAGTTTTGAATATATTAAATATAAAAAGGAATATAAAGATAAAACGATTTAAAAATCTCTCTTTTATAGCCAAATCTGGCTATAAAAGAAAACTATGTGTATATATGTGTACAACCTTGTGCTGTTAATAAATAAAAACATATTACAATTCAAGGGGTACATCCCCGTAACTAACCTCCTGTAGCAGATCCTGGGCAGCAATGGCTTTTAATACATTCTTTTTGCTAGTTTCTTGAATCTCTCCACCAACAAGTAATTCGTCTAAGATAAAGTATGCCTTTTCGAAATTGAAAATTATGTCCAATTCGCATACCTAGTAATATTATATTATAACTCATTATAATTTTACAATTGGACAACAAATTACAAAGTGCATTCTATATAAAAATACTTTTAAATCTTTCATCTTAATAAATATACTCACACTGCCAAAATACTTATCCAATAATTCAACATATCGATGTATAATTTCCAAAGTCAATAATTCATTATCATTTTGCTCAATTGCACAGCAAAAGTACAAGCTTGCATATCTGCAAGTGAATAAAATTCTAGTTGTAGGAAAAAAATATTCACACATATCACGAAATGTAGAATCTTAGATTGAACTGGCGATTATCAATCGCATACAATTACCTCTTGTAGACGACTTTAACATCCTTCCATTCTAAGAAGCTTGACATTTTTGGCTTTCGTGCGAGTATCGTGGTTATTAGCTCGCGCGTAATCTTCTTTTTCAACTTATCCGGATGCGCGACATACCACTTTTGTAAACGGAGCTTCCCTTGACGGCTGAACAGTAACATAAATTGCATCTGCAACACGGTTAATGATCGTCATAACGACTCGATATTACATCTTCATACATTTATTCGGCGACCAAAATAGGCTGTATATCAAAACTTACCATGTTGCCTCGACTTTATTGTTTCCCTTTCGCGTCTCACAGTTATTTATCCTTCACGATTTGACACTTAGATAACGATCGACATTCGTATAAATTATGCGCACTTTTTGAGAGTCACACCCAAATTTCCCGAATTTCCGTCTCGCTCGAGAGTCCGAACTTTACGAATGGCTACAACGACATGTTGGACATCGAGGACACAAATTCTGAAATGCGTTTGACGCATTCGATGATTTATACAGGGTGTATCAAAAGCAACAAAGCTCGCAATCGCGGCGGTGAATTTAGCACAGGATGTTATATGAAGTATAAATTATGTATATTTTAATAGAGTATATTATATAATATTCTGATATAAAAAATGAAAATGTCACACACATATGTCCATTCACACCTAAAAGATCTCTTATGACAGATTTATGCAGTTTAAAAAAGAATATCTCATGCTGATATTTGCACGAAAGAAGGAAAACATACACATTTGGAAAATTTACTCCAATAAGTAAAGAAGGTATCATCAGCGCAAGAAATGTTTATTTCCTTTTTTCACAAGTAAAAAAAACTTACCTCCCATAAACCAACGACATTTGAAAATGCAACGGTCGAAGAAACTTGGTTCCATAGCATATAAAATATATAGATAACGTATCGTATATTTGACCGAGTTGCAAATGGCCATATCACTCACTCGGGATCACGTTAGGCTGGATCTACAATAGTTAATTTAAGTCCTAAGCCTTAAGGCCCGGTTTCACAACTCGAGTTATTTCGAGTTTAATACGTTAAACTGGGTCCTGATTGGTCCATTCACTACTTAAACTCGAGTTGTGGAACCGGGCCTAAGAGATTGACCAATCACAGTTGAGTATTCTCTTCATACTTGACCGTGATTGGTCAATCTTTTAGGCCCAGTTCCACAATCCAGTTAATCCGAGTTTAAGTAGTAAATGGTCCAATCAGGACCCAGTTTATCGTATTAAACTCGGATTAATTCGAGTTGTGGAAGGCCTTAAGGCTTGAGGCTTAAATTGCCTATTGTAGACCCGGTCTTACGATTGACCACTGCCAATTATATCGACCCATGCCTAGGGTAACCAGCAACGATTGACCAATCAGAGAGTCTTATTTTGAATTGGCCAATGGCGACATAGTCAATCGGATACCATTCTGCCACTCACATCGATGGCTAGGGTAATCAGTAACGATTAACCAATCGAAGAATTCTATTTTGAATTGGCCAATTGATGACGCGAGACTCGAGCCAAACTTGCATAACGTATGTGTACCTGTGTTATGTACAAAAAATCATAATTCATGCAAACAAGATGCGGAAACTTATCAATTTTGAAATGTTGCTTGGCTACCGCGTTACCTTTTAACCATGCTTGGTCATGACAAGCTTTATCGCGTTTTATATTATCCTCATTGTGTAAAGTTCAAAGCATCTTTCAAAAAATAAATTTACGGAGTTTTATTTTCAAATTTGTCAGGATGGTGGAAAGTGAGTCGAGAGAGGCATGTTTAAAATTTATAAAAGGCCTCAAATGTAAGCATTGACAATACATTTATTTATATATGTTTTTTTTCATTTTTCTGCATTTAGATGTATTTTGATCACTTAACTTCGAAATATTTGGAATAACTTCGTTGAATAGATTTGTTTCTGAATTTTAAAAGTTGTTTTAGACATTATGAGAATTAAATAACTTATAATTTTTTTTTTAATTTCTCTTTTTCAGTGAAAGGTACAGCATTCCCAGAATTTAATACATTTCTTAACATTTTACAAGAAGAAGCTACTACAAGAGGACTAGATGATGATGTTCTCAGTAAACTTACAAATGTTATTATACATACAGATTTCAGTTAGTATATAATATATATATATATATATATATTAACATTATAGTATATTTTATAAATATGCTTGATTTAATCAGACTTTATATATATAAAATAAATGTTAAACTTTGACTTAGGTGCAGTTAAATGGACATCATTAATAAGATGTTTAATTCCAAGATATAAATTGCCTGAGAACATAGCAAAGTCTATTATTACTTGGTGTTTATCATTGTTGGATGAGATACCACTCACTGTCTGTATCATTGTTATACAATGGGTCTTAGGTACACATATTACAAATATATTTAATAGTACAATGTTACAATAGTACATTGTTACAAAAAAAAATTGAAAAAGATTTAATTATTCTAAAACTATGGCTGGAATTCATAGTCCAATCTTATATTCAAGATTGTCTTAAATCTGGTCTTAGGTCGTCTTAAGATTCTGTTCAGCCAATGAAATAGCCGTATAACATTTTCAAAGCTTACTTAAGATGATCTTGAATATAAGACCGCACTATGAATTCCGGCCTATATTATAAAAATGTTTTATTCCGTGTATTATTTATTATTCTAACTATATTTATGTGTAGATTTGCATATGAGTATATTTTATTTAAAAAATATTGGTGGTTTTTTAGGTTTATGGGAATATGAATTAGTAGATAGAAAAATAATTAATATGTATTACGATGTCTTCTTTTACACGATGTTGCAAAAGAAAAAATTGGTAATATATTCTTTTTCTTACATATATTATATATTTTATATCTAATAAATTTTGGAAGGATAGAAGTCGTGATGTTAAAATGTGATTCAATGTCTTTATTGTTGTGTTATTAGCATAAACTTATTTTGAAATTAATATAAATATAAATTTTAGGAACGTCATATAGCACGTCTCATTTATGTGTTAACAAGACCAGAGGATGTTACTCGCAGAGATGTTTTAAGACTATTAGTCCTTCAAAAAAAATATTCTAAGCCTCCAAAACATATTATTGCATTACTTTCGTAAGTATAATTGACAGAGTTTCTGCTCTTAATATAATAGGAAATAATATGATGTTTTTTAAAACATATCCTTAGCCTATTTAAGTCATATAAGCCAGAATTAGTGCCTGAAAAGATACAATCAGTAAATATAGAAAGTGTGTGGAAACCTATATCTGAATTTATACGATTAGCATTAGAAGATGCTAGAGATCGAATGGAGATCCAGCAATCTCGCCAAAGCACACAAACTTATTTTAATTGGAATGTGATGCAGGTATAGAAAATTTATATATATATATATATATATATATATATATATAATTTATGATATAAATCAGAGATATATAATAGTACATATCTTTGAATTATATATATATATATATATATATATATATATATACTATGAATATAAATAAATTATATAATTAAAAATTATTGTACACATAGAATGTGAAAGTTCAAAAAAAGAAAAAGCCGCTGTTACCCTCTGTTGGTTATTTTCACATTGGTTCAAGTATTTTTAAAGATAAGGAGGCGAAATCTATTTTTGATATAGGCAGGTGAGCACAATACATTTGAAATAACATATTAGTTATATATGTTAATAATACATATTAATAAGTATTAATGCATATATAAATATGATATATATTATATATATATTTTAGCATAGATGAATTGGGAAAATATCATCAAAATGTTGAATTGCCCTGTAATGCTGTATCACTATTAGCAAATATGGCTGGTTATCATCTTCTTACATACTCAGATTTTCAGTATCAAAGTAGATTTTCGTACAATTTGTATAATACACTCATAAGAGGCATGTGAATTTTAAATTTTCTTTAATTGTAAAAATAATTCTAATTATTTTACTGTTACATAAAACATATTTTAATCATAAAATATATTTTAAAAAGTTGCTATGTTGTTAATATTTTAGCATTTATATTAGAAAATGGCAAATTTTCCAAGGAAGAAATGGATAAATTTCTTTCAATGACAATAGAATTTTCTCGATATATGCAGCAAGAGATACTTGTAATTAAATTATTCTTTGATGAATATTTATATTATAATACAGGAGAGCATCTGTCACAATTACTTAATTTGTTACAATGGATGACTTCTATATCAGTGACTGGTAACTATAAAATTAATCTATCTCAATATTGGTTTGCTGGAAATATTGCAGTTTTTATTAATTTTAGATTTACGGGAAAACATTTTGATACATATACATAATATATTTTATGAATCAAGTTTATCTATGAAATGTGAAATAATTAAAAGCTTGCAAAAACTAATTACAAACTTGGTAAGGATTTATAACATCTCTGTAATTTGTGTGTATGCTATGTGCTCTGTGTGTGTGTGTGTGTGTGTGTGTGTGTGTGTGTGTGTGTGTGTGTGTGTGTGTGTGTGTGTGTGTGTGTGTGTGTGTGTGGTGTTTAACATTTCCATTTTATCTTTTTCACATACACAATATTAGGATACAAGTACATAAGAATTACAATGTACAAAAATAAAGATTGTAATTTTCAGAAATATATAATAGAAAACAAGACTTTGTAAAACAAAAATTTAGATTAATAATTTAGGTACTTAAATAAATAATCTTAATATCAATGAGATAATGATTTATTATGTTTAGTTTGTTAAACAAGGACTTGAAGAACAATATCAGAATGCATCATACTTTTTACGACAAGGTCCACTGGAAGATTTAGCAGAAATTGTATCTGTACTTACAACAGTATCGGAAAATCTTATTGTTTATGGATTAAATATACACAATTTTAATATTATATTTTTATCAAAAGCTTTGACATTTTATGAAGAGGTACAAAATTTAAACTATAAGTAATTTAATTCTAATATTTAATTGATTAATGTTTTAGCAGTATGTTATTTCTATTTCTTTTATTTCTTCAAAGATTTGTACGTTGGAAAGCCATAGTCATGTAGAAACATGGACATTGCCACCACGAGCAGTTATATATGGAGCATTTATTTCAAAAAGTTGTGCTCTCTTGTCAAGAGTTTGTAAATTATTATTAAGGTAATGATTTCTTTTATTTTTAAATTAATTATATTTTTTATTACTGATATTTGAATTATATTACAGGTATCGCCAGATGAGAACGCGTTCATATCAAATCATGCCATCAGATATATATGAGGAAAGGATTCGCATTATATGCATTTATGCAAATGATATTCATAAAGCGTTATGGTATGATGAGGTATGTATAAAAGCTAAATGTGCTAAATGCGTATCTAGATAGATATAAATAAATGACATTTTTTTAATAGTCTTTTAGTGATCGAAAAAATGGTATCCTTCTAAGCAATCTCTCAAACAAAGTGATTAAAGATTTAGGAGATTGTGATTTAGATATCTTACTGAATATAGTTAACCATTATGCTGTATTACCCTACAGATATACAATGAATAAAACAGGCTTAAATATAAGTACAAAAGAGGTATGTTTCAAATATTTAGTTATTAAATTTTAATTCCCGTGTGTATTTATCATAAATCATAAAATATAAATATAAAATATTACAATAAAAATTTAAAACTCTGTATTTTCGATACATTCGACAAGAAACGACAATTGCATATCGTTATGTCTGTACTATCCATAATTTAACAATAATCTATTTATTATATATTAATTTTTAAACCAAATTTTTTGGTAAAATATTTTTCTCATATATATACTTGTGTTCTGGATGATAATTATTTTGTTTATTTTTTTTCTAGGATGCCAAAACTATGGCTTTATATTATTATCCTGCAGTAAATGAATTTCTTGCTGCATTCACAAGCGATTAATTCACAAGAAATTAATTCGTAACTAAATGAAAAATACATCATATTCTTTATAATTTGTACATGCACATAAGATTTTATTAGAGTAAATTAACTATTGGAAAGTAAGCAAATGTATAAAGATATAAGATTAAAGAGACATATTATATATTATTGAAATTATTATTGAATTATTGAAATAATCTGATCTAAAATATTTTAATGATATAAAGAAGATCAAATCATAATCTGATCTAAAATATTCTATAGTATATCAATAATCTGATCTAAAATATTTTAATGATATAAAGAAGATCAAATCATAATCTGATCTAAAATATTCTATAGTATATCAATAATCTGATCTAAAATATTTTAATGATATAAAGAAGATCAAATCATAATCTGATCTAAAGTATTCTATAGTATATCAATAATCTGATCTAAAATATTTTAATGATATAAAGAAGATCAAATCATCAATCGATAATAGTTTTTAACAAGACGACTGCATCCACTTGCAAACAACAAAAAAGAAGACATTATTATAAAGCACAACTAAATTTCTTGCTCTAATAAAAATTTATAAAAAATGTCAACTTGCTGCAATGTATTGATGAAATCTATTATCAAATTGTTGGCATATTGCAAATGTTTTGCTTTCTATAATAATATAATTATCAATTATATATGTTATGTAAAAGAGAGATATTATGTATTATTTTTTTTCAAGTTTTAATTATATATAATTAAAAAATTCGATTTATGGCAAATTATATTTGCCATATATATTAAATGATCCAAATGAAAGGGGGATATTAAGATCTTTAATAAATACGACTTTATTTTAATATTCGTAATAATACAGTTAAAAAACTATTTACTAAAAATTTTGAAAAAAAATGATTTAATATTAATTTCTTGGTTTAAATTCTATATATATATATAGATATATTTTTAATCTGTATAGTTATACAGATATTTCTCACATATAATAAGGCAAGTATGCTCTTTATCATTTATGATAATTTGATTATAATTGTTTTTATTTTCAATATATGATATTATGAGAGACTAAAGGATTATATTATTTACAATTATTACTAGCAATTGATAATTATATAGAGTAAATCTTATTCTCTATCATTATCTTTTATTTTTTGCACAAATTACAATATACTCTGAACTCTAATTATAGCATATATAAGAAAATAATATTATCAAATGGTGCAAAAAAATTATAAAGGAAATGGGAGGGCTCGAATAACTGAATAAAAGTATATCAATTGTATCGCGTTAAATCATACGAAATAAATATGTGTATTTGTGTGTGTATTATTATAAATATTTAAAAATAATGTTTAAAATATAATTGTTTTTTATAAATATCACAGAATTTTTACTCGTGATATAATTTTTGTAAAATATTTTTTAAAATAATTAGATTTAAGATATTTCTCATTTTTTTAATTTGATAATTAATAAAGATAAAATCATACGCATATATGCCGATATGTTATATTTTATTAGATATTAATAAAAGTTAAATGTAGCAGAAGAAAACACATTTTTATGATATGATCTCGGAAATTAAATATATGATAAAATTTATTTTGCCATTACACTTCGATAATATGTCTTATTGTTCAATGTTTTTATTCGCTTAAGTTTTAATTCCTATGATTAATAACGCAAAAAATATCAAGCGACGCGATTGCGTCGCGACGCCAATTATTTTGTGTTCAATAATATAAATAAAAAGTGCTAATTTATGTCACATACTCATTAGTGGATCAAGTTTTACATTTTCAGATGAATACACTATGGGCAGTGACTTTAGCTTAAATCGTAAAAAATTGTTCAATGTAAAAATAATATATACATTACGAAGACTATGATGAAAATCTGCTTTAACTAATTTTAATGAATGTATAAATATTATGGCACGAACAGATTAATCAAGCTCTAATAAGTTTGCAAAATATCGGCCATATCATATTCCTGTTGTACTTAATATGTGATAAGGATACACTTACATGATAATTGTATTAAACTTTTCACATTATTAATAAATCTTTGATAATTTTTTTCTATATATTTTTATGAATTAGTATATTGCTTTTCTTCAGCTACTTGCATATTAATAAGATTAAATTTTGTACAAGTATGTATATGTATGTATAATATTGCAAGTATATATGAGAAAGATAATACACTTTATACTATATACCTCAATTTGTATAATATTTATAATATTTAATGCACAATGTATTCAATATACATGTTTATAAAAAAACTGAATTTTAGAAATACAATATATTTGGGTTTGCAAAGTTATGTGTAAAAATATTTCTTTTCATGTTTTAAATGTTTTTATAAATTAACAAAATTAAACACTTTATCATATAATAGACATTTCAGATTTGCAGAAAATTTATGATTATAAAAATGACATGTGATTCAAATGCACTATTTTGTCACACATAAAGATATTACAAATGATAAATAAATACTTATAAAATGTCAATGCGTATGTAAATGAATAATATAAAAAAAGAACAGTAACTAAGATTCTAATATGTTCTATTGCATTATAATATCTTTGTTTTGTAGATTCTAGAATATGAAATTCCAGTCTGTATAAATCGAAAATAAATTCTCGCATTGAACACAATATATTCGTATTTCATACATTTAAAACTTACAGTTTTAAAAAAAAGATATATATATATATATATATATATATATATATATATATGTATATATATTTGTATATGTGTATATATACATATATATCTTATAGTACTGACAAACTTCTGCATAATTTCTACAAAGGCTTGTTTCTCTTATACAGTTCTAAGTTAATGTTACGACTTTAGCTTCACTTCCTTACAATTAAATTTATGTAAGTAAAATAAACATTGTAATACATGCATTTGAATTTATGAATACTGCAAGCCAGAAAGAGACTCGGTTTTTCTTTCGATATCTGTTACATAATAGATTTTTTAAACAAAATTTAACATCATTTACACCCACAAAATACAGCCCGTATTCGCCCAAAATATACATTGATATTTTCTTGCTTATTTCGTATAAAACGTATTGATACTGTTTATAATGATATGTATTCTAAAAATACAAAAATACATGAAAATTTATTATAATACATATAACAAATATATTGAAACAGAAATATTTAATTCGCACTTGTACAAAATATTTCTCTTACTCAATTATCTAAAAAAATGGATGCATATTTATTAAGATTTAACTTTTTTGTCACCATACTCTTACACTATTAATATAATTTTGTATAAGGAAAAGGGGAGGTTTAGTATAATTTATAAAGTATTTTAATAAATGTAGACGATGTGTATTTACATTGCATGATGTAATGCTTATCGTATGTGATAAATAACTTTTTCATCATCTATATAATACTAACATGTATATATACTAACATGTATATATACCTACATACATATATGTGTATATATAAATGTATATATATATTATATAGATGTGGTCTCTATCAATCTCTACCTAAAAATTTTGCGAATATAAACATAAAAAATATCTATGTACTTAAAACATATTAATAAGTATTATATAAATGTAGGAATATTATATATATAAACTATAGAATATACAAGCTTCTCTTGAATAACAGAATTTGAGCGAAAACGAGCTGTTAATAGCACAGAATTATATTAGTATTTCCCGGTTTTAAGATCGCTGTTTCAAAATCGGAACGCAAACTTGTTTATTTTCCAGAAACTGTCCCATAAATTTAAATGGCTAGTCTACACGAATGCGAAACAGGAATGAAAAAATGAGCGAGATAGAGCGATATTTTATGAAGTTGGCTATTTTAGTTTTCGGCATTTACTCGCTCGAAAAACAATTCGTGATCTTTTACAATTCTTTGGTAAAAATCGATATTATAACCAGGAAATAATGTATTTTCTACGCATATACAATATTTCATGGAGTAGATTGTACTATTTGAATCATGACATAAAGTAAAATGACTTTTTGATCAATAGAATACATTCTATAAAAAGTATGCGGATCATGAAAATAAGAATGAATACGTATTTGATTACAAGCACTAAGATTAATCATTTACAACGGATAAAGTTGTCAACTGTATAGATTTTATCCTAATCAATTTATCTTAATCATTTGCTTTAAATTTTGAATATCTATCTTTGGCACAATGTATTAATTAAGCAAAACTAGTTATAATTATACATGAAAAATAATAAAATGAAAACACGAATATGTACAGGTCACAGTTCATACATACATACATAGACATATATAAATTCATATGTATATATGTGTACTTTTTTTTCTTAAAACCTGTACCAATCACATTTGTCCAAAGAAGCATAATACAAGTTTTGTCTAATGATATAAATAAACTCCAAAAATTTAATCAATTTTATAATTAAAATTGTTTTCTAGATATATCTCTACATATATAGATGTTGAAGATACATCTTTATATATGACTTATATAAGTATACAAATACAAATATAAATACATATTTATATTTACATTTGTGTAATACCCTAATATGTATTACGTATTATATATTTATATCTGTATTTATAACTTTATATTGCTAACAAAAGTAAATATTCAGGGCATCGTCTTTAGGATAATGATCAGTTTGATGTATACTTGATAATTACGTTCTTTTGTATATCTGTACACACAAGAATATATATATATATATATATATATATATATATATATATATACACATATCTATATTATTTTGTCCCTGACACTTACACACTTGCAGTTCTTGCACTATAAAAACGAATTTATGCTTCACTTCACTTTTAGCAATAACACTTTTGTACATAGAGCAGTATATGCATTTATTATCAAAAGAACGATATAGATAACAGTTAACAGTACGGTGATAAAATAAAACAGATCAGTCCCAACTTCCGTCACTATCTTCATCGAGCGCGTCTTCCGCATCGGAGATCATACTTTCGTACGAAAAATCCGGTTCTTCTTCTAGGAACTCGTCCAATTTTTTCTTATTCGAAGCTAACTTGCGTTTTTTCGTTGTTAACGCAAGTTCATCTTCTGGCGATCGCTCCTTACGAAATTCATAGACTAGTGGATAAATATGTTCAATTGCCGCTTGAACTGCAGCAACATTAGGTGCTGCAATACATAATATATGATCATTAGGTACATAGTAGGTACATAGTAGGTTTGATTTTATTAATTGCATGAATATATCACTCAAATCGATTAATGTTTAAATGTATTTTGTTTATCCACGATTTAGATGTGTATAAATAAAATGTGCTTAACTTTTTATATTCAACGCTATGTTTCTTTTAATTTAATTAAAGCTTTTAATCTATTCTCGTGCACATTAGAAACAAGAAATTAAACAAGAAATATTAATTTTGACATTAATATTGCAACAAAAATTTTGTGTAACTTTCTCTACATTTCTTTAATATCATTTTAAATTGTAATAAAATGCAAATTAGCAAATGGGATATCAAAAATCATATGTTTTTCTCTATAAAACAAATAAAATATTTCTAATTACAAACCTGTCACAGTAACACTTCCTGTAGAAAATATCTTCAGAGTGGCTTTTAGTTCCTTTAATTTATATGTAACACCAGGATGTAATTCCGGCTCGTAACTGTATAGTGTGTAAAAATATTTATACATTTACAATTATTATATACATTTCACAAATTTGGATATAGAATTATTAACATTAATACAGTGATAATAAGTAAACGCGCGTTAATTAGTAAATTTAATTTTCTTAAACAAGATAATTTTCTCTTATAATCATAATATAATTATTAGTTAACTATACTTTTGTATACTTACTCTGCATTTTCTTTGTGATGCACCGAAAATAATGTTATCTTGATTGCAAATGGCATACAACAAGTACCTAGTACGTTCACCACCCTATAGTTATTAAATCTTACTTTGAATCCAAGCTTTTGAAGAGAACGAGCGAACCTACGCGCTGCAATTTTCGCTTGTATCTCACTGGTTGCTCCAGTGCAAGTTACTTTGCCAGATGACCAGATAGATGCAGTGGTATATGGTCTCCTTAATTTCATTGTTATCATCTGAAAATATCACATACAAAAAATCCATGTACATATTTTTAAATACTACCTCTGTTTTCTCAATGCATTATGTCTATAGATATTATTATATCTATAAATAGAAAAAAATAACAAAAAAGTATTAAAAGGATATATGGAAAGAATAAATATACACAATCAGCTTAAGAAATATGATGTGCATAATTATTGGAAGACTTAAAGTATCACAGCAACTTTAAAATAAACTTAAAATAAACTTTAAAATAAATTTATAAATTCTTTAATCATATTCCACAAATAAACAAATTTAAAATTTTTGTATTTAAAAAGAGAACCAATAGAATAAATATAAATTACTTTGTAATATTATTCCATTCAAACCCTATAAATTTTATTTAAAAGAATGTTTTTTCAGTTTTAAAATTGCAAGATATTAATTTGTAATATTATGTGACACAATTAATAGCTATTTTATTGAAAAGATATATACATATAACATACCCCATTTTCTCGTCTGTATTCAACATTGGATCCATTGAGTGCTATTTCTCGCAAATTTAGATGACACCTTACACTAAAACTACAAACTACATTATTAATAACGATATCGAGCTCAGGAGGTTCTTCATGAACTTCGGCATGATCCATATATGGTTGAAGTTGCCCATCAAACAATCTATTGTCTTTTTCCTCCGGATTGTCCAAATTATTAACATCCTCTACATGATTCAATGATTTATTAGTTAATGGTTTCATGCCATTTTCTTGAATAGCAGTTGCCATAATATACCTGCAATATACAATGAAATCAATCTTTAAAATGTAGTCTTTATATTATTACATCTATTTCAATTTTATCAAACTTAATATTTAAGATACTATGTATACAATTGTATGGGACATTACAATTATCAGTTATAAATATTTATATATTATTAGTACACGAACAAACTTTGATAACCCAAGAGAAAATAAAGGATTTGCTATGTAAACTTCAAACTAATTAAATTTAATAATATTTGAGAAAAAAGATATTTTTTTATTACAATAATCTATACAATTTTAAGCTAAAAATAAATAACAATATAAAATTGTAACTAATGCGATATAATTAATATCATCTTATGTCCTATATAAATTTAGAAAGCAATCCATTAATTTGATATCAAATGTAAAAAATATTCTTTAAAAAATTTCAATAAAAGATTATTTTGTATCTCGCAATTTTGCAATTTTAAGTAAAAATCTTTTAGTCTCAGTATAAGTAATTTAATAAAATAAGTAAAAATATATTAAAATATTTAGTATAAATTTGTAAAAATATTTAGTATAAATTTGAAATTTTTTAAATTTGAAAAATTGAAAAAATAATAAAGCAAATTTATATCTCTAAAACTTCACGCATAAACTGTTTTTCGTCTCGTGAAATTCAATATTTTGCCATAAAAATGTCTTCGTAAATTTAAATAAGCAACAATCTTTTTTAAAGTTAAGCTAATTTTTAATTTTTAAAATTAAGCTAATTTTTAATTTTTTATCGTCGCAATATATAGATTTCTACTTTGCAAAAAGTGCGAAAGTAAAAGTAGCAATAATTTTCTAAAAAATTAGGAACTAAAATAAAGGGCTGAGAACTAGAACGTGATGTGTACGCACGTGGGTCGACTGCTTATAATCACCATAAAAGAGGAGGTCGACAATCGTTAACGATATAGCTAATGACGATCTGATAACGATCTGATTTACATCAAACTACGACTCGTGTTCGTAAAAAAACGTAACGCCGATTATAAATTAGAATCCGATTTCAATCGCAGAGCAAGATAAGCGTGCAACATCCGCTCACGACGCCTTAAGTACATCGAGGTTCGAGTAGGAATAGGATGATGCGAGAATGATCGTCGCCAACCAGCGAAATTACCGCGCGTGAATTTCAGTGTCCTTCGAATTGACGGTCGTTGAAGAGGGTTAAGGGTGACTGAAACATTCGACGACCCTCACGAGAGACGAGGGATGATCGTTGGGAGAAGGATCGAAAGACGCTGGACGGACGCTCGGTTTCATCCGCACGTGGGGGACGACTACTCGCGAAGGGGCGCGATTTTTAATCGTCCTGAGGACGCGATGTAACCTCGTCAGCGATCAGTCGGCGTCGCGTTTTCAAAGACAGCGCGAATATTGACAGTGATGCTGGGGAGGAACGAGAACGTGCACTCCCGAGAATGTTCTACGAGAGACGAGGGGGTAGATGTGTATCACGTTCTGTCGATTTCGTATTTCGAGGGGTGGCATTTAGGGGTGGTTACTTACGCTACGCCAAGCGGTCGCGCGCGACTCGTCCCGGATCAGAGATACCGTCTCTGTTGACAGGTTGACACAGCAGCAGAACGCAAAGCTACCTCAACAATCATTGCCATTGTTCTCAGCCATATTCGCTAGACTGGCAACTACTGACAAGCAGAACGAGCGACTCGACGACCGTGGAATCGCTCGCGACGTAGATGACCGAACGTACTATCCTGTATGGAACTATCCGGATATAGGTGTCTCATTGGCTGCCGTCGAGTCCGGTGACAGCCAATCGGCGCGCTTGACAAGCTCGTTGCGCGAAGCTCATTCGTGCATCCCCGCGATGAAACAGTTCGTCAGCCGCGATGATTGGTTATTTGAAATCCTCCAGGATATTTTTCTCTTTAATTTTCTTCAACGGTAGAACTTTAGAAATTCTCTAGCCGATCGACCAATCGGCGTGTCCGATAAATTTCGTTGAATAATAATTTACAAGTAACAAAAGTGAAGTTTTATAATTGCAGAGCAATTAGAACGATATATAATGAAGTGGTCCTGATATTTACTTAGATTTTTATAAATTAAAATAAAAAATATATAATAAATTTTTATTCATTAAAATTTTAAAAAAATATACAATAATAATAATAAAACTAAAAAATAAAATGAAAATTTTTGAGGGAAGGAGTTGGCTCTGTTTCTTTTTAAATTACATCTAAATTTTCTCATGAAATTGGAAATGATTGTAAATTGTTTATTTTTCTTTCAATTCGTAAAGTACGTATGAAATAAATGTTTTTAATACGAGAATAGCAGAGAATCCTTAACAAGAATGGCGCTCTATTTAACATGTATGTATTCTCCTCTACAAATTATCATTCTCATATTCACTTTTGTAAGCTCACTGCTCGTTATGTTATAAAGCTCAATGAATGGCAATCATGAATGCAATTTATATCGTTTATTATTATACATTGAAATTCATTGAAGAGAAAAGTGTTCGCGATTTCCCTATCCATATCATATGCTGCAGCATATTAAATAGTATATATAAAAATATATATAAAACTTGTCGAACTTGTGTATACATATTTGAATTGTCGGGATGCCAACTCCATCTGGCGCATGCGCAGAATGAAAATATCGCGCACTCCGCATTTTTTCGTTGGTTCCCTCGCTTTGCGCATAATCACGTGACCTCATGATAACCATGTAATGAGAGAGCAACGCAAGTAAAGGTATCAGGTTTGACAAATATTATGTTTCGCACTTGCAAAATAGAAATCTATATTATTGCGATGACAGCTGTTCAGAATATCATACAACATTTAAAAATTCATCAGAATAGAGCGGGATTCTATTACATGGTCTCTTACATAGTTTGTTCATTTGACACGTAACGTATCGTCAAAATGTACGCCGCCGTCCAATAGGTATACACTTTAACACAAAATATTAAACATATTCTAAAGAGACGAGTAGACATTATCAAAAAATTCTTTCCAAAGAAAATTTTTTAAAATTCAGTATCATTCAGTATCTTTGACATGTATATGTGTGACTAGGCATATTTTTAATAATCACCATACGATTCCAGGTAGCAAAATGACGTCTAAAGATGACATCTTAATGACATCTTAATGATGTACTATGACGTCATGACGTCATTCTGCTACCTGAAATCTTTAAGTCCTTTTTTATTGTTTTTCGATAAAAAAAGTAAAATAATTTTATTAATAAAAATTGTGAAAAAATCATGAAAAAAATATTATTTTTAATAACGAAAACTAATCATGTGATTCAACTGCTTAATAATTGATGTATCTTGGATACATCAATTATTATCGGATATCGCTCGCTTTGAAATATTTTTGATTATATGTCACGAATGATTCAACTATTGACAGTATGTCATTCATTGACGTTTATTCAGATGTTAATGGATTCAACGCAAATAATAAAAAAAAACATGATTATTTCTTTTTGACAAGATACATATTTCGAGGAAACGAACGCAGAGCATTTGTTTACTCGTATTGAATACAAATCATTTTACAATAAGACTCTTATTGTATAATAGTTACAAATAAAACTTATCGGGAAAGTATTGTTGAATTTGTTATGATAGCTGGTTATATTTATTATCTGTACCATTTTTTGAAAGAAAATTCTATTCTATATTAAAGATCAAGGAGCTTACATAATATTTAACGCTAACTCGATCATATGACATATAATCGATTATTATATATTTGATATCGACAGATTTTATTTGTTATTTATAGATATTATATTTTGTATTTGTGATCTCTAATAATTTTATGTCTATCGCAGATATCTTGTAAATTGTAAAACATTTTTTAAAAATGTGTTATATCTTACAAATTTTTTGTGCATGGAACGTCGTTTATTTTTTTCAATAATAAATATTCGATAATATTGTATAATTATACTACTAAAAAAATCTCACAAAAATAAAAATTCTTTCATGTACTTGGCGTACTTTTTTTATCTTTGAGATTTTTTTAGTGATCAATTTTATTCAAACTGATCACAATCGACATTTACATTGTACTAGAAAAGTGCTGTTAGATTTTTGATTATAGCTTTAATTCCTGAGGTATTTTAATTGAAAGTTTATTTGACGTAAAATTCTGCTTTGTTTGACTATAATTAATATTTTAGTAACAAGATTAATGAAACACTACGGTTTTGAATTATAATAAAGTATGTATATGAAAGCGCACATTATATTCTATTTGTTGCAAAAAAATATTTTTCACAGCGATCTAAGAGATCATCAAGATATGGAATATCTCTGCAGGCCTACATTACTTGTACGGTAGCCTCGTCTGTTCTCACTAGAAGCGGGACACGCATTAAAGTCACCACGAGCGGCAGGTGTTGCTTGATGATATTAAAATTACGTCAAATGTCATCACTGACAGGATGTATAGAAATCAATCATGCCCATATTCGTCCACTGGGAAATTCCATGACCATTCGAATTTTAGATTAGATAGACTGCATAGAATCACATATTAATATTACCAAAGATCTTTATTCTTAAAAAGTATGTATATCAAAAAAATTTATTAAATTGAATCATATGCAACGTATATTGCTTCCGTAATTCTGCTTCCGATTATTCTTGATTAATGCGTAGCTGCGTATAATTTTATAGATGTGCCTTTCATTTGCAGGTGAGAATTATTCTTCTCCATAAAAAATTTTACGATCGGATTGATTCATACAGATGTTACATGATACTTTGTACGTTTAAGAAAAAGAAGAAACTCGGAAAGAGAACATATTTGCTTCAAAAACTGGCCCTGTGTGATATTTTCTACGAGATAATCCCACAATTTGACTCTAGCACGTAATATTTTTTTGGATAAGTATAGTCAAGTATATAATTTCTGGATTCTCCAAATTGCATTCCTAGGTATGTGAAGATCTCTTTCAGAGATAAGAAAACGGGCCTGCGAAGTCGATGTATTATCGCGTTATTTTTGCTTAACGGTAAAGATGTGACTGGGGCGAAGACGGTGGGGGCGGAAGGGAAACCTGCACTGCCCGGTTTCTTGCAGCCATGATTGGTAGTGGCCGTCAGTGCTTGCTTAACCGTTGCGCCGTTAAGCAAACGCGTCTCCGCTCAGTTCATCTGATTTTTTGGATCCTTCTATCTGCGCGTCTTTTCTTCGCATCGCCCGGAAACGGGCAAACAACGATAGTGTTTGCGGATAACGCGAATTGTCCGATTCGCTATCTTTGATTTTCATCGCACGATCTTCATCATTTTATCTCTTCTCTGACCTAGGTGAGTCATCGACAGAGTCACGAATTTATTTCGCGCGATGACGCGCGACCTTCCACCTGTCATTTTCGCGAAAGGAGTCTTTTTAAGAACGAACGGGTTATTGATTATGAGATGGAACAACCGCGGGATATTCGCTCTCGACGACATGCCGGGATTTGATTTACTACCATCGTTCCTCACGGTTGTCCTGGATCCCGCATGGTGAAAGTCGTTCCAAAGTCGTAGCGACGAATCGATCGTGATTTTCGGCAGTCAGTAATTTGTAGATCCGATTGTATAAACGACGAATTTAATTGACGAGACTTTATATGGTTGCAATTGAAATTCCGAAGTTTCCGAATTTGGAAAGTAAATAAGTATGGAAACAGAGTAGGAGTTCACTATGAATGTGTACTTTCATATCGAGGATTTCGCTCTATTATCGTATACTATATCGGGTGTCCCACTTCCCGCGCATTATGTTTCAGCGACAGATTCTTTGATCAATGAGTAAAGTCGATTCTTCCTAGTGAAAATTCCAAGAGAGATCATTATTGCAACTTTCCAATTCATCATTATATGTCATTGAAACTAGGCCTTGAACTAAAATTATAATAACTGCCTTTATGAATTTTCAGTTAGTAAATGTAATTATGAAACATTATTATTGATTTAATTTTTTTTCTTAAGTTTTGTTCGCCCAAAATCTTTCAATTGCTTGTAACTTAAAAATTATATTACTACCTCAATATTTTCACTGATAAAAAATTAATACACGACAAATAGAACTCTCTATTTGAACAGTGGCGTGTGTATTTGAACAGTAGTGTCTTTATTTTTAGCGTATTTTAAATTTCTGGAAATGAAAGCAAATAATTTTTATTAAATACTGATATTTATTGTCAGTAAAAACGTAAAATTTAAAGTCTTCTTTTAAATAATATCATAATATGTAAATAAATTTTATTTTGTATTAAAATAGAGAGCATATTTTAATAAATATTTTGCTGCATTTCTTATTATAATTATAAATTATTATAATAATATTGTTTTAACAATATTTTTTAGTATAATTTGATAAAAAAACTTGATTTCACAATTATATATATTAAAATATGACACATGAAATCTTTTTAAATTATAAGTTATTTTAATGACCTGCTGATATATTTTTTTCACGTATATGTAATATTTTCCGCATTCTTAATCCATGCTATGTGATTAAAACTGCGACAAAGTAGAACGATCGTTTGTTCGCAAAAAAAGTGAAGCACTATGCGAAAGTTTCACATACGCAATTGAATCCTTCTAATATTACAAGTCTCAGCATTAATATGATCTCATTCACTC